GCTGATGGCCCTCGTCTGCTCGACGCTAAAAATTCCCCTCCACTATCACCGGTGCATTGATGCGATTTCGACGGGGTTTTGGTTTAAAGTTGGGAAGAAAACAACTGAGCCCCGGGGAAGCCTCTCGTTCTCCCCGTTTGGTGGGAACCTCCTGACCCGCCTCGGCCCGGCTTTTCACACCGGCGGCCGCCGGGGGTTGGAGGTGGTTCCCGACCCCAAAAAGCTCAGTCGGATCGAAATGGTTCTCCGACCCCGTTGTGTCTAACCCGACGGAATTTGGGGTTAGAAAAGCTGGAATTGGCTACTCGTTTTGTTTGGGTGCCACTCCTGTGCCAAGTTGCTGAGAGAGGGGTTATCCTTTCCTAAGGGTCTGTTTGCTTTGGAAGCATCACCGGCAGTGGGTCCCCAGGGAAGAAAACTTGTCCAAGAAAGTATGGATGTCTCAGCAATGCCAGATTGGATTTACACCTGGATTTACACCTGGATTTACAATTCGGGAGAACTTGTTCGCTGAAGGATGGCCGGGAGCATCACTCGCCGGGTCCCAGCTCTTCTCAGGCTCAGCCCCGCTGTTTCTCTCGGTACCCAGGTCCTCGGGTCTGAATCCCAGCCAGTCCAAAGCATCCCCCCCGGGAAAGTATTCTAGCTATCCGTCCCTGAGCAGGGATATAAATACCCGGAGATATTTGGAAGATCTCTGTGGGAAGCGATTGTGTCTAAGTGGTAGCGCTCTGAGCTTATTATCGCTGGAACCGATTTGTATTGCGGGGACTGGGTCCTGCCAGAAAACTCCAAAGAAAAAAAAAAATCCTGCGCTGAAGAAGGCTGTAAATTCCTGTGCTGCAATATTTCATCGAAGGACGTCATGGAAAATCTGGGCTTAAAGGGGGGAATCTCGGGACGGGCAGAGGGGGGGAATGGGACTCAAAAATGGGGGATTAAGATTTTCCTTTTTTTTTTTCTCTCTCTTTCTGACCAAAGCCTGAACTCCTGCCTGAGGCGCGGTTGTGTCAGCCCGCACCTCCCCGCAGCCGCCTGAGGCGCTTCGGCAGCTCAGCTACGCACCCGCTCCCAAATTCGGCTTCTGCTTTCCCAAAATCTCCTCCAGGTCCCGCTCGATCCTGAAGGCCGGGCTCTGCCTCCAGGGATGCGAGAGACAGAGGCTGGGCTGTGGGTGCCACTGCGAAAGGGGCTATCCACGACCGGGCACACGCACACGCGTGGGGCAAAGCGTGTGTGATGGACCTGCAAAAAAATGGTTGGGGGTGCGTGTGCCTCCCTAAAAACCACCTCTCCCAAGGTGCTTCCACCTTCCCTCGAGCGCCCCTCTCCCCAGCCTCGAGCCCCTCGCTTGAACGCACCCCCTCCCCTTTAAATAAACATTTAGGGATCGATTCGCCGCGGATTTGGGGCTGGCGGCCACGGGCATGGACGAGACCGAAAAAAATCCCCAACCAGCCGAGGGAAACAGGCTGGTGCTGGGGAAGAAGGAGGGGAGGGGGGGGTCTTGCGGGTGGTGTTAATGCAAAGCAGGGCAGCGGGGAGGGGGACATGAGGCGGTCACTCCCCTCGCCCTGGGTGGTCCGCGCTCGCAGGAACACCCCGGCCCCTCTCGGAGCAGCACCCAGCCCGCCTCTAACAATACCACCTATATACATTTCCATACTCGGATTACACCCGGCCTGCTTGCAAAGTTGACTTCACTTAAGCAATTAGCTAGTAAAAATACCTTCGGCGCAGGAAAAGGAAGAAAGCTCGGATTTGTCTATTTTTACACAAAACACGGCCCGAGTTTCGGGGAGGGGGAAGGAAGGGGAGCGGGTTTGGGAAGGAGACGGTTGGGAAGCGCAAGCGGGGCCGTGGGTGTTCGCGGGGCCGGTAAAACGGGCTCTGAACGGGATTAGCAAGGCTAATTGCGCCAGATGATGGTTAATTTTTGTAATTTCTTCTTTTTCTCCTTTCCTGTCATCTCTCCCAATCGAGGGCTGGAGGAGGACACGTTTCACCCACCCAAACCACCAGCAAACGACACCAAAAGCGAATCTCGGTCGTCCGCACAGCGTCCTCCTCCTCGCACACTAGCCTTGACCCGGCTTTTCTCCCCTAAAATTCTCCTTTCCCCAACTCGTGGGATCGGGTTAAAACCCTCTAACCTTTCTGCTATTCCCACGACGAGGCCTATAGAACCCGGAGCTATATATTCCCGTTTTTAACGTTGGTTCCCTCTAATAAATACATCGGAAACAAAATCTTCACATTCCTGAAAGATACTGCGAGAGAGGGAAAAAGCACTCGAGAAGGAACTGATTTTCTTTGAACTCAAATAGTTTGATTTACACCGAGAGTTTTGGGGCTTTTTTTAACTCCGAAATATTTTATTTCTTAGTGGAAACGCTGCCGCTGGGGACGGGTTTGAACGTGGGATTTCCACGAGCTCTTTGTGTTGTGTTTCGAGCTCCATCCCCGGGTGTTTTGGGGGCAAATCGGGGAGATTCAGTCTCAGGATCGTATGAAACAAAGAAAAAAACCCCTATCGCGACTCGGGGGAAGACATTCGATGCGGAGCGAAGCTCAGGGTCAGCGATGCTCTCCCACGGCAAAAATAAAAAGAAATGCAGCGAGAAGCAGCGGGGCTATTCTACACTAGCCGCCTCAGGGCTGAAAGCACCGGGGAAGGTGATGGCTTCCCAAAAAAGCGGGTTTTTATGGTTGTTGTCCCCTTTCCCGAGCAGCCGCTGTGCTCCGCGTTCCGCTCCGCGCCCGCGGCCCCGGGCGGGAGGAGCAGCGGCCGCCACCTTCCCGGACAGTCGGAGCTGCTTGTCCTTCTCCTCCTCCTCCTCAAGGGAAAAGCTCCAGAAATAACTGTCCCAACCTTCTCCCACCCCCTCCCTGGCTACCTGCCCCGGGCCTGGGCTTTGCCCAGGTCTCTCTCGTGCCTGTTCCAATCCCATTGCACGGGGAACGGGAGGGACGGTGCTTTCTGCAGAAGGGCGCTTTTTTTTTTTTTCTTTTTTTTTTTTTTTTTTTTTCCGGAGAGGGGGCAAAGGAGGGAAAGAGGAAGGAAAAAAAGCCAACAAAAAACCCCAACCCTGATGTGAAATCCCTCTTGGTTGTACGACAGATGTGACAGGCGCCCCGGAGACTGCTCACAACTGCTCGCCAATAACGCGGAGGGAGTTTGGAAACCCGATCGGTATCTATCTTTCCTTTAAAAGGCATTAAATTATCATTAAAAACTTGAAAAGCGAATCTGGTAGAAGGGGGGCTTGGGGAGGGGAATGTCCCCTCTCCCTCTGCTGTGGGTGCAGCAGGATGCACCCACAGCACTGCGGCGAGGCCTGTAAGGGGGTTGGGGTGGGGTGCATTTTTTTTTTTCCCTTTCCTTTCTCTCTTCCTTCCCCCAGTCTCGGAAAGGAGCTCTCCGCAGCAGCCAGCACACCAGCAGCCCTGAAAGCTCAGGCTCCTTCCCCCGTGCCCACCCACAATCCCACACCCCCGCAGCGCAGGTTTCCACGCGCGGTCCGCAAGAAGGTGACAAAGATTTGAAGCGACTTACCTCGAGTGACAGCTCTCCCGATGGCACGATGCTCAGAAAGGTGGCTTTTTTGGGGGGGAGGGGAGGGAGAAAAGGGGATCTCTACCCCTCTGCCTTTCTATTCTCCCTCCCCCCGCCCGCTGTGTGCGCCCGTGGCATCGCCGGAGCTGAGCATCAGGCTCCGGGCACTCAACTGTGGAACTCCAGCACAGATTTATATATACCCCCCGAAAAAAACCCAAAGAAACTCAAAACGAAACAACCCACCCTCGTCCCTAAAGCAGCCTCGGAGCAGGCGAGGGGTCCGAAGCCCGTTCCCGGCCCCGAAGCGGCGGAGGAGGCAAAAAAGGGCATTTCTCGAGGCAGCGGGAGTTTTCGCCGATTTCTTTTTATTAAAGCACCCCAGAGCCCGTGTTTACATTGCGCAGTATAAACATCCTGCCCGGGCCCGCCGAGCTTAAAAGAGCGCACGAAGAGGGGGTTTGAAGTGGGTGAAGCTCCGCGCAGCGCGGAGCCGGCGGCCGGGCAGCGCCTCCGCTGCCCCACGCCACGCGCGGAACCTCCACGGGTCCCGGCCCCTTCCACGGCCCGCCTGGGGCCATTCCCGTGATTTTCAGCAGTGGGAAGGCGGGTAGGGAGGGGGTGGGGGAGCCCCACGCAGAGTCGCGGTCACTCGTGGCATAAAACACACACACACATACACGCAGTGCCCCCGCGCCGGGCAGGGGGCCGTCGCGCAGGCCCCCCCGCGTGGGGTAGGGCGGCGTGGAAAGGGCTCTTTAAAAGCTGCCCACCAGCGGGGAGCGGGAGCGGAGGGGGCCGGGACGAGTCGGCGGAGGGGCCGCCCGGGAGGGCGGGGGGGAGCGGGCCGGGGCGGGGATCTCCGCTCCGCGCTTACGTCTGTCAAGGAGCGGCAGACGCCGCTGCAAAGAGATAAAGTAGAAGGCGAGCAGCGGGGCCGGAGGCAGACTCGACAGCCACGGCGATGGGAAGCAGCTCCCCGCAGCACCGGCAGCGCCAGCCCAGCTAGAGCCGGAGGGGGGACGGCGGCGGCCCCGGGAGCCCGGCCCGCCGAGGGGAGCGGGGCAGGCGGAGGCGGCGACCGCCGGCTCCTCGCTCGCAGCAGCCGAGCTCAGATCACTTCCACCCATCCCGCCTCCCTGCGGCCACCCCCCGACCCTCCGCCTCTCGCTCGCCTTCTGCAGCCGCGCTCGGATTTAGGGATAAAGTGGGAGGAGGAGGGAAAAGGGGGGGTGGGGGGTGTCGTCGCTTCCATTTGTTTATCCGCGGAGGGGTGAAGTCTCCCGGTGGAAAGAAAACCCCGCCGGGGGGCCGGGAGGAGGCCGGAGGGAGGGTGGTGGGTGAGTGGCGGCGAGCCCCCAGCAGCGTGGCCTTTTGGGGGGGCGCTGGGGGGGCGGCGAAGGAGGGCCGGGACTGGGGCTGGCCGCCGCGGACCTGGCCGTAGATGACTGCAGAAGCGCAGCAGGCTCTGTCCTCTCAGCCCCCTCCTCCTCCGGTGCAGAGCAGCTACGGCCCCATGTCCTCGGTGGCTGAGAAGCAGCCGCAGAGCTCGGCCATGGACACCGCCTCGGCGGGGACCGGCGGGGGCGCCGGCAGCGCCCCGGGCAGCGGCGGGGCCCCGGGCAGCGCCGGCCCTAAGGCGAAGAAGACCAACGCGGGGATCCGGCGGCCGGAGAAACCGCCTTATTCCTACATTGCCCTCATCGTCATGGCTATCCAGAGCTCTCCCTCCAAGCGCCTGACCCTCAGCGAGATCTACCAGTTCTTGCAGAGCCGCTTCCCTTTCTTCCGAGGCTCCTACCAGGGCTGGAAAAACTCGGTGCGCCACAACCTCTCGCTCAACGAGTGCTTCATCAAGCTGCCCAAGGGGTTGGGACGCCCCGGCAAGGGCCACTACTGGACCATCGACCCGGCCAGCGAGTTCATGTTCGAGGAGGGCTCGTTCCGCCGCCGGCCCCGCGGGTTCCGGAGGAAATGCCAGGCGCTGAAGCCCATGTACAGCATGATGAACGGGCTCAGCTTCAACCACCTCCCCGACAGCTACGGCTTCCAGAGCCCGGCCAGCGGGCTCTCCTGCCCCCCCAACAGCCTCTCCCTCGAAGGGGGCTTGGGAATGATGAACGGGCATTTGTCCAGCAACGTGGAGGGAATGGGCCTGGCGGGACACTCCGTGCCCCACCTGCCCGCCAACGGTGGGCACACCTACATGGGCGGCTGCACCGGCTCCTCGGCAGGGGAATACCCGCACCACGACAGCTCCGTGCCCGCCTCCCCGCTGCTCCCCGCCGGCGGCGTGATGGAGCCCCACTCGGTTTACTCCAGCTCGGCTTCGGCATGGGCACCCACCGCCTCGGCGGCCCTCAACACCGGCGCGTCCTACATCAAGCAGCAGCCTCTCTCGCCCTGCAACCCCACGGCCAACCCGCTCTCCTCCAGCCTCTCCACGCACTCCCTCGACCAGCCCTACCTGCACCAGAACAGCCACAACACCGCCGACCTCCAAGGTAAGGCGCGGACACGCGTGCGACAGACCCGGGACCGGGGGCTGCCGGCCACGCGTGGATCCCGGCCGGGCTGCTCCGAGCGGGGATACTGCTTCGTGGGCAGTTTTAATGCTCTTCCCGAGGGAGAGCCGCTGTGCCCTCGCTCCTCGCCTCCCTTCCTGGGGAGCCGTCGGATCTCTCCGCCGCTGCGGGGCCGGGAACCGCTGAGCCGGGGCTCCGCTCCCCCGGACGGCTGCTTTGCCTCCGGGCCTAAGGCCGGTGGCCTCTGGCAGGCGGGAGCTCTGGGAAGGCGAGGCCAGGTATGCGCCCGAGGGGTCTTACACCTCCATCAGGACTTAAAGGACTCCGGAGAGAGAAAAGGAGGGATTTCCCTGTCGGGCGGTCCGCCACCCACGCCCTGCCGCCCCGTCCTATCCCTTCCCGTCCCCCGCCATGAACTGTGTTTTCCACACATCTCAGGGCCGTGTTTTCCGGGTCCATCGCCTCCCTCCACACACACCAAAGCCGGCGGCACGGACCCCCTGAGTCCCCCGCGCCCTGTAGCCCTATCCCCGACCCCGGGATGGAGCTGTCGGGGGTGAATTTTCACTGGATCTTGGAAGTGAGATGGTGTTTTGGCCTGGAAGAGGCCTTGGGAAGGGCAAGGCCAGCGCTGGGTTTCGCTCTGCGGCCCAAATTCACCTCGGCATTGGGGAAGAGGGGGACAGACTCTCGGACACGGGGGAGCCCCAGGAGCCATGGCCGGGTGATAGGGCAGGTTTGGGGGTCTCTGCATATCACCCCGGGTCTTTTGGGGGAGTAGGATGTAGTTGACAGAAATGGGAGTGAAGCGGAGCATTAGTGGGTCAAAAACACCAAGAGAAGCGCAGGAAAAGCATCAGCCGGGCCAGGCCGGGCCGTGCCGGGGCAGCGCCCGCCAAGGGCAGCCTCCGCTCCCGTGTGTGTTCCCGGTGCTCAGTGCGCCCAAGGCCGTTGGAAAACGGAGCTGGAATCCGCCCCGAGGAGCCACAGGGCCCATCCGCGGCCTTAACCGAAACACTCCGATTAACACCCAAACAGGCCATGGCGAGCGGTCCGGGCAGAGCACCCCATCCCCAGCGCACCCCGAATTCCAGGGGCGCTTTTCCGTGCCGAGGTGGCGGAAGGAGCGGCAGGAACAGCCCCGCTCCCGGTGGCCTCTCACCCCCGGCCTCCCTGCCGGTCAGCGCCGCCGGCCCCGGGAACGGACGGGCTTCCCCGCTCCGCACCTGGCGGATATTCCGCGAGGGCGGAGGCGATGGGAAAAGCAGCTGGGGCGAAAAGAAAAAAATAAATGTCGAAAAAACCCCTAAACTCAGCCGAAATCCCTTCTCCTCCCAGCGCCCTTGGGCCGGGCAGGGAAGCACCGTCGCGGGGCCTCGGGGGTCCTCCCTGCGCACCTGCCCGCGCCCGCGGAGCCCCAGCAGTGCCCGTGCATGCGAAAATAACCCCAGGCCGCTCTCAGACCGGGGGTGCGGTGGGGTTGGGTTGTTGGTTGTTTTTTTCTTTGAACCCCAAACGGCGGCTGCTGACCATCTTTCCCCCCGTCCCGCAGGCATCCCGCGGTATCACTCCCAGTCTCCGAGCATGTGCGACAGAAAGGAATTCGTCTTCTCTTTCAACGCCATGGCCTCCTCTTCCATGCATTCGGCGGGCAGCGGCTCCTATTACCACCAACAAGTGACATACCAGGACATCAAGCCGTGCGTTATGTGATATGGGGCGGAAAAAACACCTCCTGGGGCCGGCAAGGCCTGACCCGGGCGCTGAGCACCCCCCCAGGACCCTCTCGGTGGAAGTAGGGGGGGTCTTTGCAGACTGGCTTTGGGCAGGAGGAATAGACTGGAGCCCCGGGAAGCAGCGGGGAGTGCGGCCCTGGGGCTGAGCCTGACCCGCAGCTGAGCATCGGCGGGACCCGGCCCAGCCGGGTCTGCGATCACAGACCGTCTCTGCCTTCTTCTGCTTGGGGATGGGTTGAGAAGAAAGCAAAAGCAGCCCCCCCATCACCCCCGAAACCCCAGACTGCGAGTTTGGGTGAAGGGTTTGACAAATGAGGTTTGATGCTTCTTTAAAAAAAAAAAAAATTAAATTACGAATTCAGTTTTGGAATTGGTGTTGAGAGATGCCACCGGCTCGATTGGGAGGAACAGAACCGGATCTGGCTGGGGGCGCTGGAAAGGACCCCGACCCCAAACCCCCTTGGTCCCGTCTCGCTTCGAGCCCGGAAAAATACTTTTTTTTTTTTTTTTTTTTTCTTCCCGGCAAACACCCAGCGGGCAAAAATCTCTCAGAGGGATTTTTTTTTTTTTTTTAAGCTGTTAATTTTGTGGTTTTTTGCCTGCATAAAGACTGCAGGATCAGACCCTATGCAGAGAGAATAAGGCACTTTGGAAAGAGACAGCCATGCTCATCCTGTTATTTATTCGACATTTTTTTTGTTGTTGTTGCTAATAATCGAGACACGAATAGTCTCAGTTGATCAGTATTAAATCGGGGAATCTCTGTTGGCAATATTTGCCATATAGATTTTTGTTTTTTAGTTAGCCTTTGTAAATTTTAAACTGATCGTGGTCTCTGTGTAAAGACAATCCTCCATATGTTTTTATAGAAATATATATATAATGAAGGATTATTCCCCTGCCTCTCCCTCTCTATTTTTTTTTTTTTGCCCTGACGTTGTACAGTTCGGTGACACCTATTTTAATTCTTTCTGCACTGTATAAAATTGTAATTATGTGGGTTTGTTTTTTGTGTTGTTTTTTTTTTTCGCCCTGCCCTTTTGTGTACGTTTTGTTCCCAAAGGAAAAAAAAAAAAAACAAAACCGAAATAAAACATGTATGTTATTTGTACATGGGCTTCACGATTGTATGAGCAGCAAATAAACCAGCATGCGTTGTAACAGGCGTAATTATATCTGAGGAGTCCGTGGCCTCCGCGGAGCGCGGAAGGGCCGCGCAGCGCCCGACCCGGCCCCGCAAACCTTCGGGCGATAATTCCCCATCTCGGTGCAGACTCAAAAAGGACCTTTTTTTTGTGGCATTTTGCGGCTTCCGCGGAGTCCCGGTTACTCATTTCCCTGCGCGGAAATATTTCAAATGAGGATATTGAAACGAGGAAGGAGGAAAACCGGAGGTGATTTTTATTTTTATCTTATAATTCTTCTTATTATTACTTCATAACCCCCCACCCACCCACCCAAGAAGAAAGCGAAAGGCGGTGTTTGACAGCTCTTTGCCTCTCACTCGGAGACAAGGCGTGTGGCTGCAGGGCTGGAGCCCGCGGCTCCTTGTCTCTCCTCCTCCATCCCGGGAGGGACACGGGCATTTTCCAAGCCGCGCATCCCTGCGGAATCTCCGAGGGCTACGATTGCGTCCGCGGCTGGGAGAGCACTAAAAGTTCCTGCGGGGTTTTCCCCGAGTGAAAAAGAAATAAAAGTTAATAAAGTTTAAGAAAACTATTAAAAATGATGAAAAATTAATGAACAGGAATAAAAAGAATAAAAATCAAGGCAGATTAACTCCTGCACCATCTCTGTCCTCCTCTGGACAGCAATAAAATCCGCATCTGAAAAATAGGTATTTTCCTGTGAAATTTGGGAGTATTTGGTCTAATTGTGGATACTACCATATCCAGGAATTTTAGTGCTTTAATTTGTGGGCCAATATGTCTCTATCAACGCTCATACTACGGATAGCAATGCATATAAAAAATAGATGCAGGCGAATTAATCTGATTACTTGGTTCCATATTTCTGTCTTTATACAGGGACATTTAGTAACTGCACACTAATTAGACCATCTCCGTGTAATCAGCTTAATTAAAGGCAAAGATTTTTTTGCTGGAAAGAACAACCAACAAATTTGAAATATTATTTTAATTAAGGCAGGCGGGAATAGCTTTATTAGAGTCAGTGGAGGCCTTTCTCACAGTGGGATTTTTTGTTGTTGTTTTGTGGGTTTTTTTGAGGAGGGTTGTGGGGTTTCGAGGTGTTGGGGGTTTGTTGTTGTTGTTGTTTGTTTGGTTTTTTTGTTTTGTTTTTAATCTATTTTTAGATCTCTTTAAGATACTGGCAATCTACGTGCAGTATTCCTTGGTTTTCTCTGTTTTTCTACCTTTCTGAGTTGATCCTTCCCTCCATCGCTGCCCATCCCTGTTGGAGGTGAGCACGATGTTACCATCCTTTTTACATACAAGCCAAAAACAGAGGGTTTTTTGCCCCTGAAGCAAATATCTGCACTAGGTGTGGCTGAGATAAAAGTCCAGGGTAAGGAGTTCAGTCTCTGCCAAGTGGTTCTTCTTTCCCTGAAATCTCACTGTCACTCCTAAGCTTAATTTTCATCCTTCGGATTAATATTGGACTCACTCTTTGGCACATTGAGCTGATGCCAGGCTGGAGGGGGCAGAGAGGCACCTTGCAAGCCTCAGGCCCAGCTCAAAGGGGTTTGATATCTGGTCCCCAACAAAGGTTGACATGATTCATTTTTCTCCCTCCCGTCGTTTTCCAAACCTGGAAAAACAGAACCACCACATACCGTGGACGCCACATATTCCTCAAGCCAGTGAGCGCAGTCTAAACAGACAGCTCTCCATCTCAGACACCCACATCAGGGAGCAGAGCCTGAAACCCCACAGGCTCCTGCCCCCAGCCCTTCATCTGCACAAGACCAGCTTGATTTTTCCCAGCGTATATTGTCCCACAGGGTGGCAAACCCCGAGCCACTATCACAAGGGGTGCCTTTGTACAAGCCCCAGGAGCAGTTGGGCTTTGGGAGGAGGTGAGGAGGGATAAACTTGCTCAGAGAGGCTGGGGGAGCCCTGTAAGAGGAGATGAGCCACTGGCTTGCTCAGAAATGTGGTTTTTGCTCACGTAACAGCCCAGATCTGGCTGTGCTCCGCTGCTGTGGCTCAGCTCAGCGATCTGCTCCTTGTCACCCACGTCCCAGTCTGCAGGTGACACAACAAGGTTTTGGGGTTTTGGCATTTCTACTGTAGGAAGTTTCTCACCATGGGTGCCCTGTGCAGGCCTGAGAGTTTTCTACAGCGATGACATTTCGGAGCATGACAAGAAGCAGGGCCTGGTGTCTCTAGCTGGGTTTGATCCCAAATGTCCCCCTGGATCAGAGTACACGGGGGTTCCCAGGCGTGCTGTGCCCTGGGCCGTGCCCTGCCATGGCAGGGATCCTGGTGGTGAGGCACTTCCCTCTGCTCCTTCCAGGATGCTTCTCCCCATCCTTGCAAGGCCACCATGGAGCTGGAACTCCACGTTTACCTCTGTCACCTGCCCATGTGCCCCCAGGGGTGTTTATGTCCCTAAAGCACTCGGGACCTTGTGAGGGCAGAACTTGAGGAACTGTGAGATGCTGCAGGGATGCCAAGGCAGGGACATGCCCTGCAGAGCCCCTTGAAGAGGAGATGTGAGGCTGGGTCTGCTGTTGGAGGGGCGCACAATTTTGGGAGGGCCCATGGGCACGATCTGAGGCCCTTTTTGGGAGGCAGCATGGGGGCAGGAATGACATCGAGGGGTCTTCCGAGGAATGGGGAATTCGAAGATATCCCTGGGTATTGGAGGGATCCCAGAGGTTGGAGGGATTTAGGGGGTTTTGGAGGGATCCCGAGGAGGGTGGAGGGATCCTGGGAGGGGGGATTGGAGAGATCCGGGGAGGGGGGATTGGAGGGGTCCCGGGGTGGGTTTTGGAGGGATCCCGGGGTGGGTTTTGGAGGGATCCCGGGGTACCCGGGCCGGGGGGGGGCGGCGCAGTTCCCTTGGTGGCAGCACCATCTGGCGGCAACAAACCGGCACCGCCCGCACCTCGTCCCCGCTCCCGCCCGGCCGCGGGTTTCCCCAAAATCTGGGATTAAAACCCGACCAGTTAGGGCGGTTTTGGACCTTTTCTCCATGGGGTGGGTGTTAAAAGTTTGTTTTCTTTCTTTAATTAATGTATTTTAAAGTGGTTTTCTTTGTATTTTTATTTTTTTTTAATCTCTTTTTAAAGTTTATTTAATTCGGTTTTAATTTTCCCTTCTGGCATCTGGAGCTCTGAAGGGGAACATCCCTTTACCCCATCTTCAGATGTGCTGGCTGTTGAACACACTGGGTGGAACTCCTTTATGGTCTATTTGTCGATCAGATCTGTTCCACACTCAGGTGGGACAGGTTGGGATACCTGGCATGGGATAGAATGGAGTATCCCATGGATACAGACACCTGGCACATGATACTCTTGGATGGGGTTTGTTATCCAGATCTGCAGAAAACTGGGTACCTTGGAGACTTAACTGGTGGGAACAAACACCTGGAATCTTAAATGAATATTTGGAATACCAGGTGATGAGTTTGGTACCAAGTTCTTAACAGGTTAAAGGCTCAGATCCATAATAAGTAATAATAATAATAATAATAATAATAAGCCTGATTTCTCTCTCAAAACCAAAAAGTTTGGGACCTATGTGCTCAGGGGACCTGAACAACAGTTCCTGTCACTTTTGCCAAGGGGAATTTGATTTCTGTGTCCCTGAAATGCCTTTGGGTGAGCACACCTGAACATTTGTTCCCTTTCTAAGCATATTTACAAGTGTAAACTGCTGCCTGATGCTGTGCAGGAAAAGGCATCGCTAGGACGTTCCTGTGGGCTTTGCATTTCACATCTCTGCCAAAAAATCTTTGCCATGGAGAGTCATCCTCAGGGACAAAACACCTGATGCAGGTGGGCATAGGGCTGGCTGAAGAACCCCCCATGAGGAGCAGGAGATGCCCCCAAGTGCCAGCAGCTCTGTGGTTGTGAGCTGATGCTATTCATAGAAACAATTATCAGATTGGCTCAAGAAGTGAGGAAAGGCATGTGGCTCTGTTGTTTTCTTAAGCAACTTTCCCTGTCAGAATTCATCTTGCCCAGTAAGACATTAAAATCAGAATATTAATATTAGTGGTTGGACTCGATGACCTTAGAGGTCTCTTCCAATCTAAATGATCCTATGATTTTGTTAACAAAGGAAGGCAACAGAAGGAATAAACCTTATTGTTACTGAGCTTCTTGGTTGGAGATCTGTTTGCACAGGCTTACAAAAAGCTCTTTGAGACCAATTCCCATTATCACAGACTGCCCAGAGAAGCTGTGGATGCCCCATCCCTGGAATTGTTCAAGACCAGCTTGGATGGGGCTTGGAGCAACCTGGGATAGTGGAAGGTGTCCCTGCCCATAGCAAGGGGCAAAATGAGATGAGCTATAACATCCCTTCCAACCCCACCCATTCCATGATTCTATAATCACAGGTTGCTCTGATCTGTCAAACTTCTGATAATTATTTCAACTCCAATCTTAAAGTGAGCTAAATTTTTGCAAGGGAGATGCACAGATGCTTTGGAAAATTTCACTGAGGTGAATCACTCTGTCAAAGTGGATTTCCTTTTCTCAGAACCTTCTCACAGGTCCTCTGAGACACCCCAAGAGTCCTGCAGGCCACTGGCACAAGCATCAGAGAGCAAATGACAATTCCGGAGGTCAAACCACCTCAGTTTAATAATGGAAAGAGGTGTGGGGACAGTGGCAGTGCCACTTGACTTCAGTAGTTCTTATGCTGGTGTGAACATGAGCCTGAGCACAGATGTTTCTTTATTTAAAGCAGCAGGAGTTAAAAACCCTGGAATGGCACAGAAAGTGCAGTTCTGTGGCTCGGCTCAGCTTCAGGCTAATTACTGAAAAAATAAGCAAACACACCTGGGAAAGCAGGATGACATGGCCTGGAAAGTTTTGCAGGGACTTAAGAGTACCAGGAGTTCACTTGGAGCAGAACTTGCTGCAGCAATTGTGTTCCTCCGTGGCGGTAAAGAAAAGCCACTGTGGACCAGCAATCACCTCCTCCAGAGATGGAAACACCACACTTTGGAGTCTGAGCAGTGCAGGTGCCTGGAAACACTCTGAAAACACCATATCCCTCTGGAAAAATATAAGTATTGCTCTTGTCTGAACAATTATGCCCTCAAAAATACTAAGGAGTGGCAGCAATGGATACGCTAATGCTTAAAAATGTGGCAGTTTTTGCCTCAGTTCATGAATGTTTACCTTCTTTCCCTGCCCTTTTTTTGATCCCATCTAACAGTCCTGTATGTTTGCTTTATTCCTCAAAGAAAATCCCCCCTGGTTTAGCTCCACGTGTTCCTGAGTGGGATGGGTGGACCGTAACACACTTGTGGAACTTGTGAGACCTCTGAAGGTGGCACGTTTTGGGAAAAGTATCTCCATTTCTGTTTTGTGCCTTGTCTCACAGAGCAAGAGCTGTGGCTTGTCCCTGACCTGGAGAGAGGCCTTGTTGGGTGTTAGGTGCTGGGCTCCTTGACTGGAAAGCTCTGGAACAAGGGGACCTGCAGGATTAAAAGCTCCCCAGAGGCTCTGACTGGTGTGTGAAGGCAGAGTAACCACGACACCAAAGGTCTCCACTGGGACATCCTATCCAAAGAACTACCACGCTATGGGATTTGGTTCGTTGTATATTTCTTTTTTTTTTTTTTTTTTTTTTTTTCTTTTGAGAGCTCCTGATGAGTTTCTGGTCTGTTTTCTTATTGTTTTCCAAAGTGGTGGGAATCACCAGTCGCATCCAGTCTATCAGGAGCCATCTCCGCCGTCCTCGCCTTCCCATCTGTAAAACGTGGATGTTACTGGGGCCACAGCAAAGATTGACTAGATAGATCCATATCCTGAACTCATTTCTCCCAGGGACTTCAGTGGGATGCCCAGCCCAGAACAATGGCAGGATACACGACCCTAAACATTTCTGCAGTGCTTTGAAAGATGAAAAGCAGTGCCTTTTCTACCTATGTCAGTGGAGGGGCAGGGAAACGCTTCACGATGTTTACAGCAGACATCACGGACATTACACATGGAAACATGGGAAATGGGGCACTTTTCTTGCAGGGAGATAATCTTTAATAGATGGCAACTAGGAAATAAAAGCATTTGGTACACAACAGCCTGCCCCTGACTGAGGGGTGTTTGCCCGAGGAACTTGGCCACAGCCACAGATGTTTCCTCCAGAGCCAGAAGTGCTGCGAGGGGCTGTTCCTCTTGAGGAACCGGAATGAGAGAAATCCCTGCACATGCTTTTCCTCCCTCTCCTCACCCCTGTGGAGAAAAACACAGCCCCAGTGCTAGATTTTTTTAATGGAGACATTCCCCTAAAACCCATTTGTTTCTCCCTTTGGAGCAGTAGAAGATGATGAAATAAAAAAACACATTAAAAAAAGGCATGACTTGAAGACAGTGTTTAACCATCCCTTTTCTGACATGTTTTATTGGTCTTCTCAGATAATGGGATAAAGCCTCTGTTCTTAAAGCCCTGGAGAGGATCAGGGACTGATGCGGAGATGCTGGAGGGCTGATGGGGATCTGGATGTGACTCAGGAAAGGCTCTGCTCCCTTCTCACCCTGATAGTGAATTTTTTTTTCCCCTTTTTTCTTCATGGACACAAACAGTCTCTGACTCTTGTCGCTCAGAAAAGACTACACAGCAACACAGCTTGTTTACTCGCTGTTGTCTTTGTGGATTGAAGCTGTGTGGCCTTGTCCCTCTTCCAGGAAATGCATGGACAGAGCTGCGTGAAGGAAAACCCTCCTGCCTGTACAGTTTGCAGCGCTGAGTGGCAACGAGCCACCTCGCTTTTATTGTTAGCAGATCACAATGTTGCCTCACTGCTCTGTGCCACACACCACGCTGTGACTAGCATCATCCAACAAAAGAAAATCCCCTCCAAAGTGACCGTGTCCTCCAGCCTGGTGGAGCTGGTAGAGGCTCCATTCATCCCATACTGTTTTCCTTCCTCATCCTCTCCGAGAAGAAGGGCGGAATCGCCCTGGGAAGGTCACGTCCGTGATGTGACACCTCGGGTGGTCGCTGCTGGATCCCACGACGCCCTCCCAGCTCCAGGAGAGCTGAGCTGGGCTCACTCACACCAGGACCAGCCCCTGGAACTGCTCAGCATCTTCCCCCACTGAACCCTCCAAACGAGGGGCTGCAGCAGCAGCAGCAACGTCCCAACTTGTTTGTGTCATGAAAGGAGCTGGAAAGAATGTGCTGAACCACATGACAGGCGAGGACATCAGAGAATAGAGAGAACTCATTTTTAATTGCTTCTGAACAAAGTTGGCTCAGGAAAGTATTTCCCATTGTACTGCTGAACTTTTCTTCTCATCACACAGCAGTGAGACACAGGCTGTGCTGCTGCTCAATCAAGGCTGTGTTAGGGATCACTTCACTCCCTATTAGAAGCAGACTAGACATCTATCACCAGCATTTCAGGCTTTTCTGCAGCATCCAGGCATTACTTTGCCACTGTTGATGTTTTTATCGTGAGTCTTAAGCAGTAAAACTGGACCAGTGTCCACCTGAATGAAGCACATTTTATATCTGTGTAGGCACAGCCAACCTCAACCTACAGCAGGGCCACAGCTAGAGCAGGCACAGAATGAAGAATTATGACTTAATATTCTCATCTTAAAAGTCTGTTAATTCAGACAGTAAATTCCTCAGGGCATGGACTTTATGGTTTGATTGTTGGTATCTTGCACAGTCTTGGCCTGGGCCAAAGTAAAACACAAGCAGGCTTCAGTTCGAGTTTTATTATGAGATCAGAGTCCAAAGGACTCAATAAAATCTATTGCATTTCAGAGTTTTGTGGACTTAAACATGAGTCCCTTCTGACTTTCCCCTAACTGATGCCTTCCTGAGCATGCAGAGAGCTTGGAACAATAGATCTAAGAGATGCAGACTGCCCCATTCACTTTTTCTACAGGATCTGCTGTTTTCTCAAGGAGGAACTTGGGTCAGCCCACAAGAAGAAATCCACATCACACAGCTGAAGACACCAGAAGGCTGTGTAGGCCTGTGCCTTGGGCATTCTTATGCTATTTAATTAAATAGCAATTTGGTGTCCTGCACTGAAATGTCTTTTAGCTGAAGATGAGCAACTTCCCAAACAGCAGGAAGAGCCTCATCCTTGCCCCTGCTTCCCTGGCTGTCCCAGGCAGAAACTGCACTGACTTCAGAGTGTGACTTAATGACTTTAGGATGGTAAAGCCTGAAAGATCTTGACATTTACCAATAACTTGGATCAAAACTAAAAGGAAAACAGCATCATTATTCCACTCCATTCAAAATGCTAATGATGGAGCATGAGCTTAAGCTTATAGTAATTATTTTTCTTCTCTGAGCCTAAATAGAGTTCATAGAATCATAAAGGTTGGAAAAGACCTCCCATGCCCTCGAGTCCAACCTGTGACCCGATTCCCCAGCTTGTCACCCAGCCCAGAGCACTGAGTGCCACGTCCAGGCCTTCCTTGGACACCTCCAGGGATGGGGACTCCACCCTGGGCAGCCCCTTCCAATACCTGATAGCCCTTTCCAGGAAGAAATTCTTCCTGATGTCCAAACTGTTGCATACCTGTCTAGTTACTATCTCCTCTATAGTGTGGTTTGGGGTTTAACTGTCAATTGGGAAAGTAACAGGGTATTAGGTAAGTCCTGTGAGATGTGGCCTCGAAATACAGGACAGACAAAAGTGACAGGCTGGAAAAGAACCAGGTCTGTTCCTCTGGATACCGACCCAGCACTGCTCACCTGTGGGGCTCACCCAGAACCACAACTGCAAACAGAAAAACATCCAGACTTGTTTGTCCAAACAAAACCTGCCCTGATTGTACCCAGTGCTGACAGAAAAGCAAGCAAACCTAACACATTTACAAAGCACATAAACATATCTGCACTGAAACTACAGATGTTAAGAAGAGAAATAAGGGAGAGGATGTAATTCCCACAAATTTGACCAGAACAGGCTGGTTCTATCTGTAATGCAACAGGGGAAGTTTGAGATGTTTTAAGTTTGCATTGGCAGAGTAACTGGCTTTTAACTGCTAAGGTCACCTGCACATCTTCACCAAAGCAAGAAGCCTCACAGAGTGAAAAGGAAGATCAAATGATCCCATTACTTAATTTGCCATAATTTGAAAGGGGCAGGCAGTGATGTGTAATTAGCTTTTTGCTTTTCCTTCCTCTGCTTTCAAAGCTCATGATGGGGTGGGTGTGTTTTAGTAGTAACACAACCTGACTCTCACCCTTGACGTGCACATGAAATGAGACACAGAGGGCTCTACAGGGCTGATGTTTCAATTCAGACTGATACTGGAAATCATTTTGAGCTGGAGAAGGAGCATTTTAGAGCACTGAATGATTTATTTTTTTCTGGAAACCTTTCTTTTGTTGACCTTAAAAGAAGTTCATAGAATGGTTTGGGTTGGAAGGGACCTTAAAGATCGTCCAGTTCCAATCCCCTGCCATGGGCAGGAACACCTTCCAGTAGACCAGGTTGCTCAGAGCTCCATTCAACCTGGCCTTGGACACTTCCAGGGATGGGGGAGCCACAGCTTCTCTGGGCAACCTGTGCCAGGGCCTCACCACCCTCACAGGGAAGAATTTCTCTCTAATATCTAATGTGAACCTACTCTCTGTCAGTTTGAAGCCATCCCCCCTTGCCCTGTCACTCCAGGCCTGTGTAAATAGTCCCTGTCCCTCTGGAGCAGGAGTTATCCTCCATGTAGAAGGTCACAATTAGGTCATCCCAAAGCTTCTCTTTTCCAGGTTGAACTATCCCAGTTACCTCAGCCTTTCCTCACAGCAGAGATGCTCCATCCCTCTGATCATCTTGGTGCCTCCTCTGGACTTGCTCCAACAGCTCCATGTCCTTATTGTGCTGGGATCCCAGAGCTGGACCAGCTCTGCAGCTCCAGTGCTCTCCTTGAGCCCCTCCATACACAGGCACATGATAATGATGAGAACTTTTTATTTGATACTGTATGAAATGTCTGACCCTTGAGGCATAATAATGTGCTTAAAATACACTTAACAGTGCTGTCTGGCTTAAAAAAAAAAAAAAAGTTTCCAACTCATACTTTAAAAAAAATATCCATTTGGATGCTTACTTTGACTATGTGCCCAGCATCACTGGCAAAAGTGCTTCTGTTTAGAGAGGATGGTTCGGCCAAAATTCAACTTGTTTTTCAGGAATAGGAAACCAAAGGAAAAAAAAAAGTAATAAAAACCACACTAAATAAATCATCATTTTCTCTTACACTGGAAGGCAGTGTCCACGTGTTTGCAAATCTTACTGTCCTGGGAGCACTTTGACCAGGAGGAGTTGCCAGTAACCCTTGTCACTGATGTTGTGGGGGCAGGAAGACCATGCTGCTGGTGACCAAGGCACAGAGGAACAGGCTTTGCTTTTATCTCCAGCAGTTTTCCAAACAATTCCACACTGACAACTTTTGACCATGGTCTGTCTGCTTTTCACTGCCACTGCAATAACTAATGTAATTTCACAGAGGCAAGAGAATCACATCACGTTAGAAGAGAGAGCAATCAGGAAAAGCAGCTGTTTTATAATTATCTGATCCATCAAAAACACACCTGAAGAGTTCTGAGGAAAAGCACAGAAAACTGGTCTTTGCTTTGCTCTGTCACATGGAAATAAGAAATGTAAGGTTCACCAAGTTGACAAAAAAGCTGAGGAAAGAGCTACAACCTCTCCTACCTGATGTTCAACAGCTCTAATCAGAACTCCATGGCTGAGCCAGTGTTTCCACAGCCATTCTTCAAAAGCACAAAAAGGACAATCTCTCCCCTGGCAATTTTTATAAAAAACAAACTTAAAACTCCCACAAGGCAACCCCCTTTTTTTTAATGAACATAACTGTAACCCTCAGGACAGATTTCCTGCTGCTGGCTTTTAAAGTATAAATTTCCAGGTCCAACCTTTAGATGACTGGAGACAAATGCAACTGCCTTGCTGCATGTGGCTTGTACAGAGCCACCACAGGGCAGGTCTGTCATCCAGGCCTAACAAATGCACACACCACAGAACAAACCAGCCTGTGAAAAACAAAGACACAGAAAGTGTGGGGGTACTTTGTGGGGAGCTGTTTGGAGAAGTGGCTCCTGTGTCACCTGTCTGGACAAACCCCCCTTTGCACGTCCAAGTGCAGGAGTGAGGCCTCATTTGTTCACAAAGCTGGCTCTGCACTGTGTTGTCTGGCCTGCAGAGGCCAGAGGATAACCTTGAAAACTTAGGTTGGTTTCTCTCAGAAAACAATGAAAACATGCCTTTTTTTTTTTTTTTCCTCCTCCTCTATTAATTCTCATTTCTGACTATTGACTTCTCCTTGTCCTTTGTTCTTCTGGTTCTTGGCCAGCTCCACTCGCAGAGCGTTCCCCCCGAGGCTCAGGCCTTTCAAGGAGGATACAGCTCTCTCTGCAGTTACTTGATCCTTGTAATCAAGAAAAGCCCTGTGCTGTGCTCCCTGCCAATTCAATCTGAAAGGAGTCACATGGAATTCCCTCAGAGCACATTTCAGCTCGCTCACTCTCAGGCTGGGAGGTATGTTCCCCACATACACAGTAGTAATGGTGCCAGATCCCTCTAATCTGGGATTTAAAGGATCACTTTCAACATGGTGTTGTCCCATTTGAGCTGAGCCTGTAGCAGCCTGTGGTTGTGTATTTTCAGCCATCTCCTTGTTTAATGCTGCTGCTCTGGTGGTGTTTGCCAAGTGTGGATGTTCATCTTGGAGAGCAACATCCTTGCCCATCTGCTTCTCCCTGTATCGAAGAGTCTTTAGGATGGGGATTTTCCCCAGCATCTCATAGCTGACCTAAAAAGGAGGAAGACATATAATTATAGGATTTATCGCCTTCCAGAAAAAGAAGATGACCATCAGGACCCATTTGTGCCATAAAAAGAGAGGAACCTTATTATACAGCTACCATGCAGAGTGCCAGAGCATTCCAAATGCTCCTAATTGCTGGCCTGATTGTGGAGTTGCTCCCTAAATACACACTGCAGGACAAAAATAAACATTAGTTTCTCTTTAAGCAAGCAGCACAATGTACATCCAGCAGGCAAATCAGACCCAAACTGAGAACTACTCCAATTTGACATTTATTTATCAGAGCTTTCAGATTTGCATTCTCCTTGTTATCCCTCTGTATTTGCTTTGACTGAGGGCCTGTGCTCCTGCTCTGGCAGGATCCTCCAGGCTCACAATCCATCAGACACTTCCATTCCACAGACCTCCTCGTGCTCTTTCCCCCCAAACAGGATATCCCGTGGGCTGGGTCACACAATGGTGGAAGCCTGCAGCGGGAGCGTGCCTTGGAGCGGGGCTCCCGTGGATGTGGGCCCAGCTGGAGGCACGTTCTCTGGATGTGGCACATCCCCACAGCCTCCCCCTTGTCATCCAACCCCACGCACCCCCCGCAGCTCCTCAGCAGACCCCACATCCCCCCGCTGGGCTGGAGCATGGAATGGAAGTGCCCGGACACTGCACTTCCAACTGTGAGCCCTCCATCCAGCCAGCCCCAGCTCACAGGCAGCTTTTCTGGAAGGGCTCTTCCCCTCAACAGCTGAACCCCATCCATCTGAGGCATGAGATGCCCCAGGCTGCTCTCAGAGACTGGCAGGAAACACAGTGGTTCCCCAGCTAATGTGGTCGAGCTCTTGGCTTGCGGAGTGCAGTTGGAAGGAGGAATAATTCCTACTTGGCTGCTGGACAAGTTGAACATCCATCAACACAAGATCCAATTCTGAAATTCAGGGAGCAAAACAGAGCCTGGGGAGGTGATGCCTGAGCTAGCAGAGACCCAAGCCAGTAGCCCACAATGTGTGAGCAAGCAGGATATTGCACTCAAGCTGATGAACCACCTCTCAGCAGGCTGGATTGGACCAGCACCACCATATCCCAGCTCAGATCTCACTCATCCCAGAGCCCCTGAATTCCTGGTTCTACAGTTACAGTCCCAGTGGGTTTGGATCTGCACAACATCAAGTCTAAAATGCACAGCTCTCTGGGGGGAGCAGCCCAGCCCTGAAGTGACTGGAGGAAAACCCAAGACAGGGTGGGGGCAACATCAGGATTAGGTAACAGGAAAGTCAGTCAACAGAAGTATCCTCAGTGTTCCCAGGGCTCCTCTTCTGAGAAGCAAACAAGCAGGTTTCATTTCAGGCTGAAACCAAATAAAAATATAACTTACAAAAAGCCTGTCCTAGTTCTGTTGATATAATATCACACAGCAGATTAGGCCTAACCACTGTGGACAGAGCCACCTCCCTTCTGCCACACTGCAGACCTGGGGTCAAGGTCTTTGGGATCAACGAGCAAGTTTTGTGACTGAGAACAACAAATCTGGCCTGACCTGGCAGGCAGTGGAGGTCAGGGCTTCCTCTGGGGCTCGGGGCGCCTCCACACTCTAAAATGTACCTGCCATTCTCAGATTTTGCAGAGTTATTGCTCTGTGGATTCTTGGACTGATGTGTTTTTCTCAGCCAAGAATTCTGACTGCTGTTTGAGAGCAAACTCCCCTTCCCTGGGCAACACAACATCAAACCAAGGGCTGAAGCCATCTTACTTTGCTTTTACTGGCCACCAATTAGGAACATTTGTTGTCCTCTGTCAAATCTCTATGTGAAATGTAAGCTCTATGCTAATTAAACCAAACAGGAAAAACATTTTTCTAATCTCATGCAACTCCGGGGCCCAAAGCACAGCCTCTCACCGAGTGTACCGAGTTCCTTTCATCCTGAAATTAAACTTGGTTGCCAAGGCAGGGACTGAGTGTTTGGTTAGAAAGGTCAATGGGCAAACCCTCAGCACTTTGTAGATTAAGGCAATCAGAGACGGGCACTGAGAGGATGATCTCTGGAATTCCCAGTCTTTCAAGGAGTGGATTTAGATAATCAGGGGCCAGCACACTCTCTAAGAGACTTCAGTGTGGCATCTCCCCTCACTAAAGAGACAAGGAGCTTTTGGCATCTGACTGGAGCTCTTGGAGCTACTGTTCAGGCTTCTGGGAAATTCAGGAAGATGCAGTTACAACAGCAGATATGTTTTAGGAGGAATTTCTTAACAAAACGGGTGATTAGACATCAGAAGGGGCTGCTCAGGGAGGTGGTGGAGTCCCCATCCCTGGAGGTGCCCAAGGAATGACTGGACATGGCACTCAGCGCTCTGGGGTGGGTGACAAGGTGGGGATCAGTCACAGGTTGGACCTCAGTGATCTCAGAGGTCTTTTCCAACCTCAGTGATTCTGTGATTTTTATAAGGACTACGAACTGTTCTCTTTAAAAGCCAACGTTTTGATCAAACACCACCCTGAAGTGATTCTTTCACTCCCTTCAATTCAGACCTGTGCAAACATAACACTAAAAAGCCTTTACAGTGCCAAAGCAACAAAGGCAGTTGATTTGGCACTTGGATTTTCTTGTATTAGGAAAAATTCATAAAAACCCCTACATTAGACAAGTTTTGATACTGTCAATTGACATCTTTCTGCCACAAGAGATACAGAGGATTAATGTTGTTGTCCCTGGGGTCTAGGAGAATATTTCAGCTTCCCTATTTTCCCCTACTCTTATGCCAGTTTGGGAATTCCGAGTTTCAATTCAGCAAACAAATTCACTACTTTTTTTGGGGTGATGGGGGTGAGAAGCAAAAGGGCAAAGGGAGCAGCGGGTGGCAGAGGAGAGGAAAAAGCTTGCTCTGCTCTGTTGCAAAAGAGCAAACAAAAGAACTCTGTGGTAGTACAATGTGTTGCTAATTATGATCATGCAAAAAGTTCCTTTTGTCCTGTAAGCTGTGGAGGATTGCAATGATTTATTTCCATGAGGAGAGAGGCCAAAGATATTCCTCCTCTCTTTCAAACAAGCTGCACGTTTCTTGGTCCTGTGCCGGCGGGTCAGTCCTCCCTATCCTTGTCTATCCTTATCCTTGCTTACTGCTTTAGGCTAAACCAGGATGGAAGGGATAAAGGTTCCACCCCAACTACATGGACCTGGGCAAAGCCAGCAGTTAAAACTTCTTCCCTTGCTCCTCCCATCCCTATAAAGTCAAGGCCAAACCATTTATTGATGTTTGTAAACTTTGTATTGAGTGTTGGGATTTAGCTCAGTGATTGGCTTTGGCAGCAACACCAGCCGAAGAAGTTTCCTATTATGCCTTGACCACCGATTCCCAGGCCAGTTCCACACTTCAGCCCTCTGGGGTTGGCCAACAGAAGTGCCTGTGGGTCTGTGCTGTAAACTCACTAACTGAAGTGATTCAGATTAAAAATAACTCCACCAAAAGCAATTAATCATTTAACACCACTGCCTATTCCCTGCCATAGCTGGGAGAGCCTCGGGGAGAGAGGACAGCAGGGTGGATGAATTCTTCTGGCACACAATTACTGGGCTATGGGAAAGGAGAAGAGGAGGGAAATGTGGCCCCTTTGTGACAGAAACCTGAGGAAAAGAGTCTTGGATGCTGAGTGCCAACACAAATCTCCCAGCACTTAACCCAGACTCTTCACTCTTACGACACCTGGTCTGATCCCAAAGCAATGGAGTGGCAGCTGGACTTCTGCAACATCCCTGTTGGAACATCAGGGCTCCCTTCACCCTGTGTTCTCCCAGAACAGTGAATGGAGCCACTTTCAATATTTTGCTGGGGAAAATGAAGGATGTGTTTGTCCTCTGTCAGAGTGAGTAATGCTGACCCCTGATACAGCGCAGGCCAAGCCAAACACCACTTTGATTTCCCTGGCAGGAGCAGAGGTGCAGTCCTGGTGCACTGCAGATGAGGGAAGGACAGCTCTGGATTGGAGAGTGTGCTGGGCCTGGTATTTAATTCTGCTCCCCACAGCTCCCCATGTGCACATACCACTGATACAGGAACATGTGGCTCTCGTGAGACCCACCCTGGAATCCTGGGAACAGTTCTGGAGTCCCCAACATAAGGAGGACATGGAGCTGTTGGAGCAAGTCCAGAGGAGGCCACAAAGTTGACAAGGGGACTGCAGCACCTCCTGTATGAACACAGGCTGAGAAAGTTGGGGCTGTTTAGCCTGGAGAAGAGAAAGTTGTGTGGAGACCTCATAGTCCCTTCCAGTATCTGAAGGGGAAGCTGGAGAGGGACTCTTTACCAGTAGCTGTGGTGACAGGACAAGGAACATGGCTTCACACTGAAAGAAGGGAAATTTAGTTTAGATATACTGAAGAAATTGTTCCCTGTGGGGGTGGTGAGGCCCTGGCACAGGTTGCCAAGAGAAGCTGTGGCTGCCCCACCCCTGGAAGTGTCCAAGGCCAGGTTGGACGGGGCTTGGAGCAACCGGGGACAGTGGAAGGTGTCCCTGCCTGTGAGATGAACTATAAGGTCCCTTCCAAGACAAACCATTCCATTATTCTAAGATGGAGACTGACAGACCCCAGTTCTCACGCTGTGTCCTTAGCCCGCTGCCTGTTTCAAGGAGCACTGAGCTCACAGGGATTTAAAGCACAGACAATGCCAGGACAGCCAGGACAGGCCAGCACAGTTGAACATTTTATCATTCATTTGCACAAAATGTCCAAATATGTGCACACAATCCCAGGGCATATTTCTGGGAGCTGGCAGCCCATGAAGTCTGCTAATGTCCCTCAGGAGAGACTTATGCAACCCACATTTGGAATCCATCAGCGAAAAGTGGATTCCACGGACTCTGCAGCAAGGGTCAGATCTGCAAAGGTGTTGAGATGTTTAACCACGCGTGGAAGTGTGCCCTGCTCACACTACCCCTCCAAAACACACAGCAAAACAAAGCCTTGGCTAAACTAACAGCAATTCTGCTCTGATGGCAACACTGTGTTCCTGCTAAAGGTTTGCCAGCTTGGATGGGGGAACTTTTTGAGCTTTACTTTCCAAACGTTCTATCACAGACCCAACTCAAAAGCTGTTTGTTGTCAGATAGTTTCCATCTCTGCCACAGCACTGGACCCAGGGATTCCCCCCAGTTCATTTCGTTTCAGGAAAAAAATCTTTTCCTACTGCTCTAAAATTCTCAGCAAAAGAATGATTTAAAAACCAGAAGGAAATGCTTGCTAGAATATAGTGATTTTTCCACCAACTACTCTCATTTCCCTCTTCATGACCCCAAATATTTTAATTGGTCTGTATAGTTGCAATTTAAAATAAGCACAGCACAAATAACTTGGTAATTGTGACAAAATATAATACACAGTGTCCCAGATAAAGATCACAGCTACCCATAGAAAATATTAAATGAGAAAGTAAGTCATTTCATGAATTTAGAGTTCCCAGAAACAATGGGTTAGATTTTCAAGACAGATGAAGCCAAATAATTCTCCACTGGATCCAAATAAAGTTTTCCAGAGTGCTCAGCTCTCAGCAGCTCTTGCTGCCCTCCAATAACTCATATTGATTTCTCACAACTCAGAGGCAGAAAACTTACCCACAGAAACCTCCCAGTACTTGCATTTACAAGTGTTTCCAGAGTGTTTAGCACTGATACTGATAATGATTATTTGGTATTAATTATATGGTGGGTCTCATGCTTTATTGGAAATCTTTAAACAGCACGTAACAAACGAGAACGCTCCAGTACCTCCTTAAGCACAGAAATCCAGCCTGGAGACATGGATTTGTTTGCTGAGTAGGTACCTCCTCACCCCTCTGGAGCTGAAAACACAGTGTGTGTGTTAGTGGCTGTTTATCCTGCCAGCTTCAGGACAGCACATCCTTCACAACAACACTTAGCTCTAATGCCATGTTTGCAAACACCTGTAATTTAAGCTCTTAATCATTGTCTTGGCCTGATCCAGCCGTGTTCCCCAAGGATAAACCTTTTTACAGTGTATTTTACACATCACACATCTCAACAATAAAGTTAAGCTACTTTCTGTTGACAAAACACCCTACTGAGAAGTGGGGCTTTTATTTACTCACTACCTCTTGGTTCATTTAGTTTTGCTCTGAGGAACAGGAATGCACCAGCAAAGCTGGGATTTGAAGGAGAAAAGGATGGAGAGAAAAGGATGTAGAAGTAGCCAGGACAAGGCAAAGGACAAACATTTAAATAGCCCATATCAAATCCTGCCTTTTTAACACCCTGCTGATTAACCAGACCTCCCACCTCCACAACACTCCCTGCAAGAGCTGAACACAGAGTTACCACCACAAGCACAAGCAAAATAAATGTCATTCATCTCCCTGTGAAAGAATAATGGCCACTTCTTTCATCTTCATATAGGCACTACACTGTTTTCTTCTCCCAAAACTGCCTGGTATTTTCCAATATTCCTATCTAAGCAACACAACACTCCAAAGAACAACCAAAACCAGCTTTAGATGTTAAATCAACATTCAAGTATTCAAATAAAGCATCAATAGTGGTCCATTCTCAGTGAAACTGGAGAAAATTCAGTTGAAGCTAAGGGGAATCAGAAAAAAAGGAAAAAGTGTCAGCAAGGCCACTTACTGAGAAGTCTGACACTAAGACAGACAAAATGTGATCAAAAGTATGTTGGCAAGATGGATGGAGCACAAAGGGTAGGCCTTCAACACAATTATATTCAATAATATCCTAAAAAAAAATTACAATTCAAAAATAATTCAATGGAAAAAATGCACTAGTACAGACAGAGCTGTTATTTATTTATTTATAACCTCAAATCCTCAACCACAGGCAGGGTAAAATGCTCTCCCACCATGGGCATAAAAATAGTGCTGGCTTGAATTGTTTGTTGTAGATACATTACCTAAAGAAATTTAACTCCTTTTGCTGGTTGGCAACCGTTTAACAAACAACTCCTGCTTTCCCTACAAGTATTCCCTTAGTAATTCCTAAGCAGTTTCTGCAAGACATGGGTACAATATTTCTCATTTCAGTATTCCTACTGTTACTCAATCATGCAGGTCTGTGTCTGCTTCCTAACTGGATGTTTTTAAAAATGAAAATCCAGTGACAAAGGAAAAGTTTTCCCAGCATTAACTTCCAGTAAAACAATTCAGTAAATGCTGTTCTGAAACTATTTGTGAGGCTGAGGAAGTTTCTGACGATCTGGGTGGGAAGAGAAAGGGCAAACCCATAATACAATAATGATCAATAAATATAAAGATTCCTGGTTTTAAACAGTATAAAGTCACTGTTCCTCTACCTGAAAACAAGCTCCAGCCACAAATTTATCCTTGGAAAGTTAATCCACTACATAAACAGGAATGTACAACCACCAGGTCATGTTTTGCTTTCATAAGCAGAGCAGCACATACTCTACCCACTAGTTCCAATCCCCCTGCCATGGGCAGGGACACCTTCCACTAGACCAGGTGGCTCAGAATCCCATCCAAACTGGCCTTGAACACTTCCAGGGATGGGGCATCCACCACTTTTTTGGGCAATTCATTTGGTACAGCAACCCCAGCTGCAGTGATACATTCTCCTCCTCTCCATTCCCACTTAAAACCCCCTGAACGTGGATGCTGCTGTTTTGTTTCACCTGAAAAACACACCTGCTCCTTTCCCAAGTATTTCTAACACAACAAATGTGTTTATATTCAGAAATGTGGGGTTTACCAACAGAATGCTGGCACCACTGTTAGCAGAGGGAACTTGCCTTATGCCATATTATTCCTTGAGGTTTGGATCGCTTGCAATTAGTCTTGATAATTCTTGTTGGGGTGAGGATATAATCCACAGTTAAATCATGATCACCGAGAAGCTCTTCTTCTATGTCAACCACCTACAAAGGAACAAGAAATCTGCTGAGTGGTTAAAACCAAATTCACTAAAATTGTGCACCATTCCTGATGTCTTGCAACACATGAAAATACGTCAGACAGTGGAAATAAAGATGCCAAACCAACATCATTCCATGTCTCTTCTTCAGACAGACCAGTCAGTATCACATAATTCTGGTTCATTATTTGAGAGGGGATATTTTAACTTACCTGACAATCATGGACAATGGTAACTACAGGTGTATCCTCCTGCACTGCACCCATTGACACCATCATTGCATATTCCATATCTGCATAACCTTCCCCTTTTCCAATTCTCCAGCCTATAATACATAAAAGTAAACAGTGGGGAAAAAAAATCAAACCCAGCAGAATGGAAATTTGATTAACTGTTAAAATCATGTAATTAAACTATGCAGTCTGCAACAGATAAACCAAGCACAGAGTTGTAAGTCAGGAAAAACTCAGATCAGCATCTTTCACAGAATGCAACTTTCCTTGAAATCAGCACTGAAATGAAATAAAACATCAGTTTCAATGAACTCCTAAAGGATCCCAGGAGCCCTCCATTCAGAGTAAATCAAACTTAGTCCACTTAACCCAGCAGGTTATTTACCCATTGTACTCAGAACCTTCTATTCCTGTCCAACATAGGTGAAGGTGGGTAAAGAGGAGGATGGGTCACACACAGAAAAACATGTTGTTTTAAGCAATGCATAAAGTCAGTGGAAAAATTTCCACCATCAGCAGGTCTTCAAAATAGTAGAAAATGCAAAATCTGATCCCCAAAGAGGTACTGACTCAGCAGGTCTGTCCTGTCACACCCTGTGTGAGCAGAGCAGATCTTCTGTACAGGGAGCCTGCTTTGATTCTTTCAAAACAAAAATAATTGCTTGCCTTAATAGTTCTCCTGAAGGCCAAAGCACAGGCCCACATGCCCTAAACCACACTGCTGCCTGCCCACTAAGTGCTGGAGGCACTGCTGCTTCCTGGTTGGATTGGGATCAGGGATTTGTCACACAGAACAGACAGAACTCAAGACCATAACTCAGTTCCAGGGATATATTCATCTCTGCCAAAAGGAACACGTGGTGTATCCTACTGACACTGTGAATTGTGACTTAGGACCCTCCTCCTGAAGAGCTGACGAGGCTTTTCCTTACCTTTTTCGGAGACAGCCACTGATCCTACAACAACCAAGTCCACTCGTGCTCTCCCATCCAGCCCCACGGGCACACTGTAGTCTTTTACACCCTGCAAGAAAAAACACATTTTAGGTTCACTCAGTGCAGAGTCTTCCAGCCACTGAGGCAGAAATCCAGGATATTTTGATAAATCCAACTAACTCCCTATTTCAAAGTGTCTCTTCCATGTATAGCCAAGCGGTACATGTCTGGAACGTTATCCTCTAGGGAATCCTAGAATAGATTCCCTACTACAGTAACAAGAATTTTGGCACACTACAAGGAGAGCTGAGGGAGGTGGGCACTTTTTTAAAGCAAGGTTACTTATTTAGGATCAAAGCCTCATATTTTGAAACCCTTTATTGGAAATCTATTCCTAAAAATTAGGGTAACTGACACTTCCTACCTTAGCACTACTAACTTAGAATCATAATTATGTAAACTCATACCAGAGTACTACAAATTCTTGAATTAAGTCTCACACACAAATCACAAAGTTAATTTAGACACAGGCAGGTACAGCATAAAGAAGTCTGAAGTCACACAAACTCACACAATGATTTTTTTTTCTTTCCTTCTTTCCCCACTCATCCCAACCCACCCTTCTTCAATCTACTCTCCAAAAAAACACAACCTAACAAAATTGTGTCCAGAGCTGCAGAAATTAAAAATTATCTTTACTTGGGCTTTCAAATATCACAGGTTTAGAACTTTTAAAGTGATTCACTTCACTCAAGATATGTGTACAGCTTAAGTCCTCCTCACATCAATGTAAGTTTGTGCTAAATCAATCCTCACAATAAAAAGACATTTTCTGTGTAGGGCACAAAACCAAAAAATCCGTAATTTGTGGCTGACTATCAGTATTAATGTTCATTATCCACTTCACAGCAGTGTGGTAAGGACTGTTTGCACAGTGCTTTGTAAATACAAACTGCCAGCAGTATTTATTCATTAGTGGGCCTGGGTGGGGGAAAAACCAGACACATGGTGGTAAAATCACAGATCACAGAAACAGGCCAAGAGAAAGGTCTCTTTCAAAAGTGCTCTTCAACCCTGAAAAGCTTAATTAGTTAATGACCCCAACAGAACTTGCAACAAAGAAAGTCACTACTAATTACTACCCATTTACAACCTCGTTGTATACGGGATTACTGTAGAATTTTAGTGCCTTGAGCGGGAGATAAAGGAGGAAATAAATCGATAAACTGGCCTGTTCTTTTTGTACAAGTTAGGTTTTCATAGCAACTCAAGAGGAATATAAAATAACAAGGTTTCTCTGCCAAAAGCCTTCAGCTGTACAATATGGGATTGTAACACGAGAGGGCAGCAACAGACCACACTGCAGGACAAAAACCTTACCGAGTTTTTGTGCCTCCACTGAGGCAAATGCCAGAATTACTGCTTCTTTAGACCTAATATTCTTAAAGAACTTATCTTTCCTACTTAATAACATCTAATATTCTATCAAGATTATGCAAAAAGTGTAACCACTAAACAGGTTTCATTAGCTCAAAACTGTAGAATACAGGGGCATGATTTATTAGAAATAAAGGATTTCTTAGGAGTATAACATGTTAGAAATATAAAGATGTATCTCAGCTATAAAAGTTGCTCATAATGTTCCAAAAAGCACTGAGAAAATACCAATACCACTCTGCTAACAAACATAGCAAGAAGACTAAATTTCCTCATGATTTAAAAATTATTAATGGCAGTTGTGTACACAGACCCAGAAATAACATCCTGGCAGAATTATACTTGAAGCAGCATTTTCAAATTCTAGCTGGTCTGTCATAACAGCACAGTCATCCATGAGTTAATTGAGGCCTCCCTCATCTTTCCTTCCTACCTGAGACGTGGCACATATTCTCAGGATTTCCTTAGTTGCACCTGGAGGTGGAACAATCCTATTGAACAGCCCAGTTCTCAGGCGTGGTGTGGGAACCAACAAAGTCTTCCTTGCCTGTGGAACAGACAGAAGTTGCCACATTAAAAGGCTTGTTTTACTCTAAAGAAATAATTTTACTGTACACACAGTAAAAATTATGTGGCCAGTAATCTAATTTGCTAGAGAGTGATTAGTGTTGTTGATTGTATAGTGCTTGCAGATTCATCCCCTCCAGTACAGGAAAATTCCAGACAAGGGTTTATTTAAGAAATAAAAGGTAAGACATACCTTCAACCTTTAAAGATATTTAAGAACACACCTTTAGAGATTCCCCCTTTAAAAGTGTATCTTTAAATATTTTTATAAGGTTATCTTATAATGTCTTTATGAGGAGGAATGGCTTCCCACTACCAGAGGGCAGGGTTAGATGGGATATTGAGAAGGAATTGTTCCCTGTGATTGTGGTGAGGCCCTGGCACAGGTTGCCCAGAGAAGCTGTGGCTGCCCCATCCCTGGAAGTGTCCAAGGCCAGGCTGGACAGGGCTTGGAGCAACCAGGGATAGTGGAAGGTGTCCCTGCCCATGGCAGGAGGTGGAACTGCATGAGCTTTAAAGTCCCTTCCAACCCAATCCATGCTGTGATTCTGTGAATCCTCATTGATCTAAAGTGCATGTCCACAAATAAGTGACACAGATCAGCTCCTAAACAGGCACAGGTGTGAGATAAGCTTGTCCCACATTTACCTTGTGATAGAGGCAAGGTTTCCTCAAATTGTGTTTTGGGGAGTAAGAACACAATGATAGTGAAACACCTACTGCTCTGCAGAAACATTACTTTCCCCAAACCCTACCTGCACCTCGGATATTTGCCAGAAAGGCAGAAACATTCTTTCTTACATGATCAACCTGCCAGAGAAATGGCAGGTATTAATGGTGGGATGCTGCCAAGCTCTGCAGTCCCCTCCTCAGGGGTGCAGAGGTGCCATTACCTGCAGGGCCGCCAGCCGAACCCCTTCCAAAGGTTTGTCAGGATCCACCTTAACCTCCCGTGCTCTGATGAACACATCCAGCTCTTGGATAGAGGAGCAGGCCTGGAGACAGCCCTGGGGCAGGAAAGGAAGGAAGAGGAGAACACCTTCACTTACTTCTAGCGTGAGGAAGCGGGCATTCCTCTGGGGGGCATCGGGGTTTATCTTTACAGTCCTGGCAGCTCTGAACTCCTGCAAAGCCAGAAGCCTCGTGGCAGCGTGGGAGGCACCCTGTTTGCAGAGGATACCAGTGCATCACCCAGGAGCTCACAGCACAGATGCCAATTTACAACCCTGCATCCCCTGGAGAGGCTGATTTCCCCAGATTTTAAATATGGGGGGCACACTGTTCATTTTGTGATGCTTCCATGGGAAACTCTCACACAAGCAGATTGCTGAGTGCTTGGCTATCTCACAGAAAAAGAGGGGATCCAAGTACAGCCTTGTAAATTCCCCTTCATTCACACCTGAAGAAAGACAAGCATCAACATCACGATGATTCTTTCAGCAAAGAAAGGCAGAGATCAACTTCCTTCTTTAATGAAATAGACTCCTTTAAACACAAGCCATAAAGACTTCTTTAAAATGAAGAATTCCTGGACAGGGCTCTCCCTTGGCAGTGATGATAGCGAAAACTCGGAAGATTCGCCAGTCAGCTGAGGAGCTCCAGCTCCGATATCCCCTGACTCAGGGTGCGATGAAGCCTCAGCCTTCCCCCACCCGCTTCGGCCCCTCGAACGGGCGAACCACACCCCACAGAACGGAACGGCTGGCTCTGTATCCCTGGGAGTGTCCCGGGCCGGGCTGGCCGGGGCTCGGGGCACCGGGACAGGGCGGTACCTTGAAGTTGGGGATGCGGCGGTGGACGGGCCGCGGGAACTCGGCCAGCCCGGTGCTCTCCAGGTGATCCCAAACCTTCTCCCGGATGTCCCACTTGGAGGAGGCACCTGTGGGGGGAGGGGAGGGGAGGTGAAGGGGGGCCCCCCTCCCTCACCCCTCAGCAGTGACGTCACCAGCACCCCCACCCAGCACTGACGTCACCTGCCTCAGTGGTGACGTCACGCCCGCTCGACCCCGCCCCTCCCCGCGCGCGCCCCCGGCTCACCCGCGCGCCCCTCCATGGCGGGCGCCGAGAGGGCGGAGCCTCCGCCCGGGCCACGCCCCCTTTCTCCTACAGCGGCTCGGAGGGGCCAAAACGCCTCGGCGGCGAAATGGGGAGGGTTGAGCGTCTCTGAGGGCTCGGTTTCCCTCCAGAATTAAACATTAAAAGGGGCTGTGCTGCGGCATTAACGGGCCGCCCAATTTATACGAATCTCACGGGCTTTCCCCACACCACTTTTTGTAAAATACACCCCCCCACCCCCCCAAAATTAACTATTTTTTCATTTAAAATCGGCCGGTTGTGGATAAATTAATATCCAGCCCCTACGAGGGTGTCCCGGCCTGCCGCCTTTCAGACAGTGCACTTCTTGCTAGCGTTTAATGGGATTATGAATGATTTGTTGGCACGATTTATTATTTGTAGAATTAGCGTATCCCATAATTACCCCCAAGGAGGGGTAGAACGTGGAGAATCTCTGACATTCCTCAGCGGAGCGGGATGGAGGGGTCATGGGAACAATGGAACGGAGGTTTATTTTAAAGTGTGTGGGGGAATGGTGGAAATAAATGCCTTCAGAATTCGGTTTCTGATCTGCCTGGCTCGGGTGCTGCTGCTCCACACCCCCCTCAGAACCCACCCACGGCTGCTCTGCCAACCCAGAATCCAGAACAAATTGGGATGCTGCACAGGGAAACCCTTTTCTCCCAAAGATTACTGAACTGATTCCTCCCCCACCCCCATAAAGTGGTTCAGGAGCTTTTCCCCATCCAACCGTGTTTTCTGAAGTAGGATTAATATAATTTTGGTGGGCCCCAGGCTTCGCCTTTTCACTGGGGTCCCTCGTAAGCGCTCAGAGTGCTCCGAGCGCTGGTTCTGCACCGGGGTGCATTTGGGAAGAGCCTTTCCACTACCTCGGAGTGCGGCTGGAGCTGGTGGGAATCCATCCAGGCATAACAGACCACCCATGTGGAGCTGGGCCTGAATGTTTGAAGCTCATTCCTCCACTTCCTACTCACGGAAAACTCCCCGTGACTCCGATATCTCTGCGGGGAGTTCGGGATCAGGCCCTTGGTGAGCAATTTACAGCCTCCCTGTTAACTCAGGAGTGATTTGTGCTCCTGGGCTGGAAGAGCCACTGCTGTCTGCCTGTCCACTGCCACACAAAATCACCAGGCTGCAGCCCATGGGGCTTGTCCCCACTCCACACTCTTCCTCCTCTCCTCTGAGGAAGGGAAAGTGAGGGTGGTAGCAACAGTGCTATTAATTAGTACATTAACAATCAAGAGGGGCTGAGATCCTTGCAGACCACCTACAGCTCCCTCCAACCATGCTCAGTAAAGCTGTTCCTTACGTGAATGTGCTTCCAAATACAAGGGCCTGAGCTGGCTTTCTAGAAATCAGGGTACTCTGCCTCAAGCAAATGAGGAGTTTGCTGATGGGTGGTATCTTTCCCGATGGTTTAATTCTCTGTTTGGCTTCCACAGGTCTGAAATTTGCTCCAAATCACTTTTGCAGGGTCTCTTCTGTCACAGACACTGCAGCCTTTAGCTTTAGCTCCAGCAGCCTCATGCAGCTCCTACAGATGCCACTGGAAAATCTCTCTTTTCATTGGGAAGCAGACAGGGCTACCAGCATCCTTATGAATTAAATTACTCTGTTGGACATGCCTGAATCAGTTCTAATATCCATTTTATCAAACTGAATAAAATAGTCCAGTGAAAGAAGTTGAAAAGGAATCCTGGATTTTGGCACAAAAGACAAAACGCAGCTCTCGCTTGAAACACCCACAAGCTGGGAAAACACCTAGAAAAAAGGGAGGGACAGATTAACCCAAACCCTGTGAATAATGCAGAAAGAACCTCCCTGTGCTGCAGGAATCATTTCTCTGAAGCGCAGGCTGAACACACAAGGGCAGCCACAGAAAACAACCAAAATGCACCCAAAGAATCAAACCAGTGCTAATGCTCTACTGGGGTTTCAAGACTGAAAGGTAAAAATAGGCTTCAAATTTGAAAGGCAAGAGCTTTTAATGAGGTTTTCATCGTACAGTGCATTAGCTGGGTGCTAGAAACTGGTTTTTTGGACCACTGTGAAATGGATTTCCATGTGTGAATAAACAGTCTATGACTGAATTTTTGTGCTATGAAATAACCCAGCAAAGGAGGCACATTAGGGCAGGAGGGGCTGGGCCGAGTGAACATGTTTGAGCCCAGCAATGTATCCTGCTGGGAAATAGGTGTGGGATTTGGGTCAGCCCCTGTAGCCATCAGTGCTGGAGCCCAGTCCTGGGCTAGCCACAGATGCAAAACTAGGAGAAATCCATGTATTTTGATGGGTCTTTGCTGGACTGGTGCCACTGTTTGCACTGCCAAGAGACAGCTAGAAAGCTTTTTTCTTTTCTTTTCTTTTCTTTTCTTTTCTTTTCTTTTCTTTTCTTTTCTTTTCTTTTCTCTTCTCTTTCTCTTCTCTTTCTCTTCTCTTCTTTCTTTCTCTTCTTCTTCTCTTTCTTCTCTTCTCTTTCTCTTCTTTCTTTCTCTCTCTTTCTCTCTTTCTCTCTTTCTTCTTCTCTCTTTCTTCTTTCTCTTCTCTCTTCTCTTCTTCCTCTTTCTTCTTCCTTTCTTTCTTCCTTTCTTCCTTTCTTTCTCTTTTTCTTTTCTTCCTTTTCTTTCTTTTCCTTCTCTCTCTTTCCCTTCTTTCTCTCTTTCCTTTCTCTCTCTTTCCTCCTCTGTTTTCCCCTTCTTCCCTACTTTTCCTCTCCCTGTTTCTCCCCTCTCCTTCTGCCGCCCACGTTTTCTCTCTCATTCCCGTATCCATTCTTCCTCCCGGCACTTCGTGCTCTCTCCCCTTTGCCCGCTCCCTCTCTCACCCTCTCTTTCTATGACCCTCTCTCGCTTTCCCCTCTCTCTCTCCCGCTCTCCTGTCCCCTCTCCCGCTGCCCGCGCTGTCCCCTCACTGTCCCCTCGCTGTCCCCTCGCTGTCCCCGCACACTCGGGGGGTCCCGGCGCGGTGCAATCCCCGCGGTGTCCCCTGGGGGGCAGCACACGCCGCGCGGAGCCCGGGCCGGGCAGGTGAGCGCGGAGCGGCCCCGGGAGCGGCCCCGGGAGCGGCCCCGGGAGCGGCCCCGGGAGCGGCCCCGGGAGCGGCCGGCGCGGGGAGCGCCCCGAGCCTGGAAAGCCTCGGATGCTGCTCCCAAAGCCCAGTAAAGGCTGCAGAAGCAAAACCGGCCGCTCCCACCCGTGGCTGTCGGGGCGAACCGGGCAAACCTCACCGTGCCCGGGGGGCGGGGGGGGCAGCGCGTTTCCAAGCGCCTCCCGCTCTCTTCCTTGAAGGGGCTCCTCTCCCTGCGCTCTCCAGCTTGTTTTTCATAATGCCGATTTTTTTTTTTTTTCCTTCGAGCCATTCGAATTTCGGGCTTTTCCGAGCCCGTTGGTTCAGTCTCTGCTCAGTCCCCAGCTGCAGCAAGCAAAGACCTTTTGCTGCTTCTGGGGGTTCTGTAGAAATTCATCTCGGTAAAGTTTTCAGCCAAAGAGAGGTAAGATCCAGTCAAGGTTGTTTCTCGAGCGCGTTCCAGGCTTCTAGGAAGGGACAGCACTGGGACGCCGCAGGGGTAGCTTTGCTCAGACTTCGCATTTAAAAATTCCTGCATTTTAAAAAGTTATATCTTTAAAGGAATCCCATGTGCTTGTGTACGCTGAGACACAGCCCTGGTTTTTACGAGAAATGAGATTTATTTGAAAACCGAACATAGAAGTGTGAACTCGTTCTCAAATTATTCCAGAAAAGGGAAAAAAAAAGTTTTCTCTTATGGTCGTACATTTTACATGAAAAGTATCCACAGACATCGCTGAATTCACTATTTGTTTTCATAAAAAAAAAAAAAAAATCCCCCGACGTTTTCTCGGTGGATGAAATCTCTCAGAACATTTAAAATTATTTCCATCAAAATTAAATAACTATTTTGAAGAGCCCGGCGAAGCTTTGCAATCAATTTTTCCATCGCAGATCATTTTTAACCATACTTTCTTGTACATGAGCTCCCTCGTAATTTTAATATTTTTTCTCCCCCCAGTTCTCGCATAAAATCGTTTCCTTTCTTATTAAGAAAATCGCCGGTAATTAACAGCACCACCGAGTTCCCACGGCCGGAGCCGGCTGCGGTCTCGTCCCCACCGCCCCGGCTGGGAGCGGGAAAGGGACCCTTCGTCCCAGCAGCCAGCAAAAATCCCAGCCTGACTTTAGGGGAAAAAAATATCTTTGTTTAAAGCCTTAGGAAACCACACAAATTGTAAGGAGGGAAAGGCAGAATTACAGTGTAAGAAACCAAAAAATCACCGCTTAGGAATCAGAGCGGGAAGAGCCGAACTCGGGGGAGGCGGCGGGAAGGAGCCCAGCCGAAGTGACAGCTAATTAATTTCAATCTTATCTTGGTCTTCTCGGGCTCGAATCGATTTTAAAGCACTATTTTTTTTTTAATATGTATATATATAGATTTTTTTTTTTCGCGGAGCAGGGAAATCGCTGGTTTCCCACCTTCATTCCTTCGCTGGGCAAATCCACGCTTCTCCCGGGTGGAACAGAACAACTCGCAGCCGTTTCCCCCAATACCTGAGTTTACACTTGGTCACCATGCGTCCCTAATTGTCCCACTCTGATTGCCTCTAATGGACTCATTAGAGAGGAAGGCAGAGGGGCGGATTTCACAGGCACAAGAAAATCCGCCTCAACGCCCGGAACGAAAAAAAAATCCGCTTAAATTCGCTCACTATTTTTTTGCTCTGATTTTTTTTTTTTTTTTAATAATAACTAAATACCCCAAACTCCCCGAACGCGACAGAGGAACCTCTCAGCCCGCGGGCCACCGGGGCCGAACCTCGGCGCGATGCCCCCGCCGCGGGGCGAGGACCGCGGCGAGAGACCCAGCGGCCTTTCCCGAGGAACCGCGGGACTGCTCACTTAAATATATACTTCAAAAGTGAGACAAACGACCCGCCCGGCGCTGGGACACCGTTATACCGGCATCTCGCCATCCCGCCTCCCTCGCCCATCAACCTGCGTCCGAAAAATGCTTAAAAAAAAACCCGTGGTGTTTTGCGGGAGCGGGCAGAGCCCGCTGCCGGGGCTCTCCTTTGGGGGCCAGAGCGTTAAGCTCTCGGCGGTGGGGGTGTGTCGGTGCCCGTGCCGGTGCCCGTGCCCATCCCGGGGGTCGGCGCGGGCGCGGCGCGGCGGGAGCGCGCCCGGGGGGGTTGAGCGGGGGGGATGCTGCCGGCGTCGCCGCATCCCGCGCTCCCATTGGCTGCGGCGGCGGCGGCGCGCGTCGCCATTGGCTGGCGGCGGCGGGTGGGGGCGGGGCCAGCGGGCAGTAAAAGCGCGGCGGCGGCGCGGGGCGAGTTTCGAAGCTGCGCAGCGCGCCCGGACGGAGCTCGGCCGCTCCCGCACCCCCCGCACCCCTCCGGGGGCTCCGGAGCGCCTCGGGCCGCTCTTGTGACAAGAACTGGGTTTTCCGAAAGGCTGCTTCTTCTTCTTTTTCTTCTCCTCCTTTTTTTTTTTAAAGTTTTTAAATTTTTTCCTTTTTTTTTTTTTTTTTTTTTAATTCCCTTTTCCTGCGAGAACAGGGCCCCCGTCCCCCCGCCCAGCTCCCCGCAGCAGTGCCCGCCGCCGCCGCGGGCCGTAGGCCGTGTGTACAAGAATCACAGTCATACAGAGGGAGGGAGAGGCCGCCAGAGACCACCCTGCCCCCGGCGACCCGGAGGATGCCGCTGCGGTGCCGCTGCTAGAGGACACGCTGGGATTTAGCTCGGCTCCGGGACTCTCTCTCTCTCTCCCGCTCTCTCCCTCTCTCCCTTCTCCGCAGAGAGGTCCCGGACGGGGGTGAGGCCCTTCCACCCTCCTCCTCTTCCTCCTAGCCTCCCCGGCCGCGGGAAGCCCCTCTCCATGATGCAGGCTCGCTACTCCGTCTCGGACCCCAACGCTTTGGGAGTGGTGCCGTATTTAAGCGAGCAGAACTACTACCGGGCGGCGGGGACGTACGGCGGCATGGGCAACCCCATGAGCGTCTACTCGGGCCACGCCGAGCAGTACGCGGCGGGCATGGGGCGCTCCTACGGCCCCTACCACCCCCACCAACCCACCGCCCCCAAGGACCTGGTGAAGCCACCTTACAGCTACATCGCCCTCATCACCATGGCCATCCAGAACGCCCCCGACAAGAAGATCACGCTCAATGGGATTTACCAGTTCATCATGGACCGCTTCCCTTTCTACCGAGAGAATAAGCAGGGCTGGCAGAACAGCATCCGCCACAACCTCTCCCTCAACGAGTGCTTCGTCAAGGTGCCCCGCGACGACAAGAAGCCGGGCAAGGGCAGCTACTGGACCCTGGACCCCGACTCCTACAACATGTTCGAGAACGGCAGCTTCCTGCGCCGCCGGAGACGCTTCAAGAAGAAGGATGTCTCCAAGGAGAAAGAGGAGGCCCGGGAACGGCTGCTGAAGGAGCAGCCCAAGCCCCCCGGGCTGCCCGGCGCCGACCTTCCCAAGGAAGCCTCCTCCTCCTCTTCCTCTTCCTCCGCCTCGGCGCCGGCCTCCGAGAAGAAGGTGGTGATCAAGAGCGAGACGGCGTCCCCCGAGCTGCCGGTGATCACCAAGGTGGAGACGCTGAGCCCGGCCAGCGGTGGGGCCCTGCGGGACAGCCCCCGCAGCGCCGCCTCGCCCCCCGCCGCCGCCTCGCCCGAGGCCTCGCTGCCCGAGCATCACCCCGCGGGCAACGGGCTGCCGGGCTTCAGCGTGGAGAGCATCATGACCCTGCGGACTTCCCCCGCGGGGGACCTCAGCCCGGTGAGTGCCGCCTCGGGCAGGACGGGCGCCGGGATGCCGCTGGGCTACCCCGCGGGGCAGCCGTCGGGCTACAGCGCGGCGTGCAGCCAGGCCCTGGACACTAGTGGGAGCTACCACTGCAGCATGCGGGCCATGAGCCTGTACAGCGGCGAGAGGCCGGGCCACATGTGCGCGCCGCTGGAGGAGGGTCTGGCCGAGCATCCCACCGGCGCCCCGTCGCCCCTCGGCACCCTGAGCCTGCCGTCGGGGCAGGACGGCGCGCTGGGCACCGGGCACCCGCACGGCGGCGGCGGCGGAGGGGCGGCAGGGGGCAGCCCCCCGCCTCCTGGTACCTCAACCACGGGGCTGAGCTGAGCCACCTGCCCGGGCACACTTTTGGCTCTCAGCAGCAGACTTTTCCCAACGTGCGGGAAATGTTCACGTCGCACCGGCTGGGGATGGAGAGCGCCTCGCTCAGCGACCACCAGGTGAGCAGCAACTCCGCCTGTCAGATCCCCTACAGATCCGCGCCCTCCCTATACCGCCACGCCGCCCCCTACTCCTACGACTGCACTAAGTACTGAGTAGCCGCGACCCCCTGCCTAGGGCCATCCGGGAAAAAAAAGGGAAAAAAAAGGTTTTAAAAAAATTATTAATAATAATAATTATTAAAAAAAATATCGGGAGAAATAAAACCACACCAAACGCAGTAAAAAAAAAAAAAAAAAAAAGACAACCTGACAGCTTCCCCACGAACCTGGGAGTCACAGAGCTTGTAGATCCCAAAAAGCCCCGTTTTGGGCCTCCTTAGATTCCAGGCAAGTGAATTGTACTTGAAAAACGGTGGATCTCTCCCCAAAAAAAAAAAAAAAAAAAAAAAAAGGAAAAAAAAAAGAGTCATATATATATGTCTATCTAAAAGTGGCAAATTTTATATGCTAAAGTATAGGGGGTCTCAGAAAAATAAGTTATGGACCAATATCACAACGACCATTTATACGTTTTAAAAGGAAAAAAAGTATATAAATATATATATATATAAATATATGTCCTGGGTATTTTTTAAGTTCTCTGTTGTGCTGTAAAAAATGTGTGGATTTCTAATCAGGCTGATTTTCAGAGCCATTAATATAATATTTAAAGTTGAGTTCACTGGATTATTTTTGTCTCGCCCAACGATTCCTAACTTCCAAATTAATGACAAGTGATTTCTTCTTCTTCTGTGTACAATTATGCAATAGAGTTTCTTTCGTTTTAGAGCTGTTCTTTTCGCAAGATGAGGAAATAATTTATTTTTTGCTGGTGGATTTTTTTTTTTAAAGGAAAAAATAGACAAAGTATCTGATACTTTTTTATTATTATTTCCGACGTGTGATGTTTTGTATAATAGATTTCACCTTGACCATTCCTAGGGACTATTTGCTTTAACCTGCTTCAAAGTTCGTTTGTCTTATGTGGTCCTAATTGTTGTACTTACCTTAAAATAAATCCATGCTGTTTTTTTCTGCTCTAAGTCTGGCGCTTCTCTGTGTATATACTGTTTTTTGCAGGTTTGTTTTTTTTTTTATTATTCTTCCTTCACCTTTCCTTCATACAGAAAATGTGGCACTGGTTGATTTTAAAACAAAGTCGTTTTCCTGGAGCCTAAAGGTTTCTGATGAATATTTCTTGAGTAAAAGGTTTAATTCACGTGGAGAGATGGAAATCGTACAACTGAGGTGGAGGGGGAAAAGAATAAGGCACTGCGCGGGCAGCCGGGTCTGAGCACCCTCAATCCCGAATCCCTGTCAGCTTGAAATTTAGGGAGTCTTTCCAGGCCCGCGATGGGTAGAACGGGGAAAACAGGAGGTGCAGGGAAGGGGATTTCTGCTCCCCTCACCCCGTCCCTGCGAGCGCGGGCCTTGCGCGGTGCTCGGCGTGTCTCCGAGCCCGGGGCCGGATCTTTCCACAACAACAAAAAAACAAAACAAAAAATCCATTTTATTTCTGTATTTATTTTTCTTTAGAGGAAGCCTGTGAGGCTGGGAGTGCGTGCGAGTGATGAGAGCGATCATTTAAACCCGGACTCGCTGCGGAGACTTAAAAAAGCAAGGTGGAACGTTCCCTTGAGAATCATTTTACAGTTTTTAAATCCTCTCCTGTATGAAGAATTGGCTGATTTTAACCTTCGCTTTATCTCTTTAAGTTCTAGTTCGCAATGCCGGGCACTGCCAGATGTTGTGCCTTTCCCCCAAACCATCCTTTAACCTGTTCCAGCAGCTGTAACCCAGGGCAGAAGCGCAGGGTTTGGCAAGGCTGAAAGGATGGGAATGCCGGCAAAGCCTGAAGGAGAGTTTAGGAGAGTCTTTGGGACTTTCCAAGCCCAGCTCACTGGAGCCACGTCCTTCTCAGCCATCCAGTATTTCCAGGGGATATTCCCCAGCCGTGCCCCTGTCCCACCTCCCGCAGCCCCCCAATATCCCTCGTAGCCCTTTTTCTGAGTTCAGGAGTGATTACACAAGCGCCAGGTTGTTCAAATCGATGAAATAAATTGGTTTTGACCGGTTAAATTTTGCATGCGCTTAAAAGCTGGCAAAAAGCACTGAAACTCTCGATTTAAATGAGAAAAAAATGTCTGAGCCTCACTTGATCTGTATTTTAAGGAACATTCTTGTAAAAGAACTCCTGCCGTTTTTCCTGGCTCTCAGAGGGTGGTTTTTATTTTATTTTATTTTTTGTTCTCTTTATTTTTTTTAAAGCAATAAAATCCAAAGTGCTATTTTAGAAAGAGAAAATGCATAATGTAAAGGGTGAAAAAAGTAAGTTATAAGGGAAATTATTAGAGTAAAACAGTGACAAGAAAATAAACAGGGTAAAAGGCGGGGGGGGGGGGGGACGAATTGGGAAAAAATTCTCCCCTGGTTCAGACCCACTTCCCCCGGGTTTTTTCCCGCACGGGAACGCCATGGGGGAGATGGCTGAAGTCAGGTGGCTGCCGTGGGCTTTCCCACACGCGTTGAGAAATCCCAGGGTCTCCGAGGCTCCCACAGCTTCCCATGCCGGCCAAGGGCGCTGGGCACACGGGGACCCTTTTCCTCGCCGAGGGGCAGGGCTGGGATGTCGAGGGGTGCGATATTGGGGGTCGGGGCACCCCCCGGGGCTCTGCAACCTCCCCCCGTGCTGCTGCTGGACAGTTCCTGGGGGGTCGCAGCTGGAGCCGGGTTTGGGGGTCTCCTGTCGCCTCACAGCCCCTCGTTGTTGTTTTCTTTCTTACCTCGTCCCGGTGGGACGTTCCCGCTCTGTCTCTCTACTTCCCACCCCTCTGGAGATGTTCTTCAGGGTCTGGGGGCTGAGAGCATCGTCCCTTTGCTCTGTCCCATCCTGGGGCGGGGGGTCGAACCCCACCTGCCCCTCTCTCTCGACCCGCAGTCGTCCCTATCATCTCGCTGGGAGCGCTTTCGGGTGGGCTGGTGTCGCAGGAGAGGCGAGAGCCAAGTGCGGGATGCAGGGATGTATTTGGGACTCTGTTTAAAAGCTGAGATACGGAGGTCAATAACGCGATAGGAGCCTGTCGCGACAGGTGATTTCAGCCCGGCTGGAGCAGAAGGGGAGGAAGGAAGAAGGGGAGGAAGGAGGAAGGCCCAGGGTAGCTGCGGTAGCAGCCGCGGCCAGGTCGGGCTCTGCAGTCCCTCGAAGCTGAAGGACCGGTATAAACCCCTCCTTAGTCCTCTCCTCGTAGATCAGGGGGGCCAAACTCGCCCCAGGGGGACGAGCTGATGCTGCTGCTTGGCCGGTGGCTCTGGGAAGAGGAGGATGGATGGGTTTTCATATATATATATATATATAATATATACTTTTATATATATACACACATATATATAAATTTTTTTTTTCTTATGCTACCATTCACCTCCAAGTTGGCAAACCTGTCCGAAAGCACAGACAGCTCCAGGTTTTGGGAGAAGGGCCAGTGATTTTCTATCTCGTCCCCGCTGGAAAGGCCCCTGATCAAGGGAGAGTTTCCCTGGTGCTGCAGGACCCAGGTAAAAAACAGTCCCCTTGGAAAGCCCCCCAGGCCTCTGCACAACCCAGACACGACCTGTCTGGTCCCTTCCAATCAACTCCACCCTTCCCTAGAGTTCGTGAGAAGGCACCGGGCAAGAGGTTTTTGGGGAAGGCCGCGAGCTTTTCTGTCATTTTGGAGGGGAGAAGGAATTATATCCCTGAGACCGGGGCAATACCGAGCGACCTCTCAACTGTACAGGGCCATGCACAGCGAGGCGGCGAGGGGCGGGCAGCTCCCACCGGGAGGTCATTCCTAAGGGAGCCCAGGCCGGGACGCAGCAGGAGTTGAGAGCACTGATTTACATCCCACTCCCCCCTACGCTGGGGTGCAGCAGGAGTGGGGAGCACTGATTTGTGCCCTGCTCCCCCCGAGGGCCCCGGGCGGCACCTCTCCTCGCTGCTGCTTTAAAAGGGACTTGTCATCTGGAGAGGAGGGAAAACCCATTCAGGAGCGCCTCCATCGCCGGCTCTTTTTTTTTTTTTTTTTTTTTTTTTTTTTTTCCCCGTTTAGGGAAAGAGCTACGGCCACAACAACAACATCAATAAGAACCCCCCTCTCCCGCTTCCCCGGCCCCCCCGCAGGAGGGCTGATTCCGGGTGGATAACGCAGCGAACTCCAAGGATGCTACCGGCAAGAGAGGGTAACAGGGATAACAGGCAGCACGCGAGCTGGGAAGAAGGAACGGAGAGAAAAGCCGCATCCCCGCCTCCAAGGATTTCCCACCGCGAAGAGGGGAAAACAAGGAAGAATTTTACTGGGGGAGGGATCTCAGGGAGAGAGCGGGAGCCCGTATGCCTGTCTACTGCCGTACACGCGAGTATTTGTTGTTTTACTAATCCGTTCTTGGAGTGTCCCAACGAGCGGGGGACTCCCTGAGGTGGGGAAAGGAAGAGGTTTTAGGGGGGAAGACCCTCGTCCGGCTGCCCTGAGGATGCTCCGGATGGGTTAGAGCAGCCAGGCTCCGTTACATCCTCCCCAGCGAGAATGCTACAGGGGCGGAAAGGCTGCCAGGGAGGGCTGGTCCCCAGTGTGGAGACGAGAGGAGTCTCCCCCACCTACAACCATTTCTTTTACTTCCCTTTTTTTAAATTTATTTATTTGGGGGGTTATTGCGTTTATGGCACTGCGGACGGGTCCTGCAGCTCCCGGGGGCCGGCGGGTGTGCGCACCGCGGGGGAGGGATGCGGAGTTACCGCCAAGGGCGGTGTCAGAGAGGTGATTTTCCCTCCCTCGCGTGGGGCCAACCAGTGAGAGGAGAGACCCTCTCATCCCCCCCGGCTCCAGAAGCCGCCTCCCCCCGCACCCTGGCTGTGTTTCTCAGGCTCTCATTAGGACGCATCTGCAGCTCCACAGCATCGCACTGGCTTTTACCCCGAGGATGAAACTCCTTCGTCCAGGAGGACGGGAGCAGAAGTGGACGAAAAACCCCACGGGCGAAGGGGAGTTTGCAGGGAAATCCGGGGTTGAGAAGGTGGAGGCATCGCCGGGGCCGGGTTATGCTGGGGGACAGCTCGGAGCCCGGCTTTTACCTCTTCTCCTGCCAGGTAAAAGACCCACCAGGATCGTGGGAGCTGCACTGTCGGGATAGTTCTCAGTGAAGGAGGAAGGGATCCCCCTCAGGCCTTCTCTTCCCTTCCCCGGAGAAATGATGCTCCAGGAGCAGAGTGTCCCGGGGTGTCACGCAGATCCGAGCCGCGGGGTACTGGGGAAAGAGCCGACACCTCCAACTGCATCGGAATCCCTCGGGGTCTCGGATTAAAGCTGTTACGTCAGTAAATTAAAAAAAAAAAATCCAATAACAGAAAACACAGATCCAAACCTGGACGTTTATACAGAAAAAGAGCATCACAAATTCCTAATGTAAGCACTGGCCAGCTGTGTGCACTTGTAAAGTTGTTATAATCCCCCTCCTTGTTATAAACAGGAAAGTACATAATATAAAGCAACAGGCCCGCATTCACAAATACTGACCCTCCTCCCCGCGCCTGCCAAATTCCCCTTTTTCTTCAGTTTCCCCCTGCGCAGCCCTGCCTGGTTGGGACTGGGGCTGGACGGGATCTCCCCTCCGCCGTCCCCGGGTGTCCTCCGAAGATGAACAGACGGGTCCCTGCACTGGGACGTGCAGCGGACCCCGCCAGACCTGAGCCCCCTTTTCCTCAGAACTCCAGAGAGCCCTTTTGCCTTCCTCCCTGCCTCAGCGCTGCCTCCTTCTCTCACCCATCCCGTTTTCTTCTCTTCCTTTCTTTATTTTTTTTTTAGTAATTTTTTTTTTGTTGTTTAATGCCCCAGTTTTCCTGCGGGGATCCCTGGCCGCTCCTCCCCAGCTCCAGCAGTGTACATCCTGCTCTGCTGTGTGTGCTTACAGCGTCAAAGGGTGGACGTGATATTTCAAACATCAGATCACTGCGTTTATATATTGGGTGCCCGGAAATTTTTCCAAATAAACACAGCTTGATTCGACTTGGGTGGGCAGACTTATCAACAGACTAATTCTATAAACAAATGAAGGAATAACCCGGAGACCATTGGCTGGTACCAGCGAGACACGTGGAGAGAGCTTGGAGTTTTGTAGCAATGAAATTTTAATTAATGTGGGTGGGCTGAGAACACAAACGACTGTTTATCAGAGACAATTTATTTTCCAGTGCTAAGTCAACATATAATAGCAAACTTACAACAATTATTTAACTTTTTTTTTCCCTCCCTTTTTTTTTTTTTTTTTTAAGAGCTATGAAGCAGGGACAGAGGCAGAGCGAGCTCCTTCAGGCAGGGCTGAGAGCTGAGCTCGCACAAACAGCTCCCCGGTGGACTCGTCCCAGGTTCCTGCCCTGCCCCGTCCCTTCGCTCGGCTCCGAAGGGGAAGACCCGGAGCTGGGAACCCGCCGGCGATGAGCCACATCTACGGCAGCCACCTCTCTCCTCTGGGCAGCCCCTCCATGGTTTATCTCCCGGCCGCCCTCGGCTTCGCCCCCGGGGGGGCGATCTCCCGGCAGGATCCCCCGCAGAAGCCCCCCTACAGCTACATCGCCCTCATCGCCATGGCCATTAAAGAAGCCCCGGAGCAGAAGGTGACGCTCAGCGGCATCTACCAGTTCATCATGGACCGCTTCCCCTTCTACCACGACAACAAGCAGGGCTGGCAGAACAGCATCCGTCACAACCTCTCCCTCAACGACTGCTTCGTCAAGGTGCCGCGGGAGAAAGGGCGGCCCGGCAAGGGCAGCTACTGGACCCTGGACCCGCGGTGCCTGGACATGTTCGAGAACGGCAACTACCGCCGGAGGAAGAGGAAGCCCAAAGCCCCGGGGCCGCCGGAGGCGAAGGGTGGCGAGCAGCCGGGGCCGCCCGCCCGCCCCGTCGAGCCCAAGCGGGCCAAGGGGGACGCGGGGGTCCCTCGGCCGGGCCGGGGGGCAGCGGCTTCCCCCGGGGGTCCGCCCCCGGTCGCCCCCGCCGCCGCCCCGCCGCACAAGAACGGCCCGAGGGGCCGCAGCTTCAGCATCGAGAGCATCCTGGCGCAGGGGCTGCGGCAGCCGCCCCCCGGGGCAGCCCCCAAGGCGGCCCGGGAGGGCCCCGCCGGCTGCCTCGGCGGTTCCCTGGTCGCCAGCGGCGGCTTCGGCCCGACCCTCAACGCCTCCCTCATGCTCGACTCCCAGGTGCACGGGAGGCTCTACCACATCGGCATCCCCTTTCTCTCCTGCTTCCCTCTCCACGTATCCGAGGCGGTATTTAATTTCCAGTAGTTGCCCCATAATTAACCCCCCCTCCCCGGCCCCGGGCGCTGCTAGAGGGGCGCGATGGGAGTGAGAGACTGGACTCAGACCTCACTGCGCGGGTACAGACCAGAAAAACCCCAAAGTGATGTAGAAGGTGACTCAGGATTTCAGGGCATTTTCAAGGCGCGTCTTGCTGCGGACTCTCTTTAGTGGTTGCCTCCCACCCCCTCGCCAGACCGACTTTTGAAGGTAAACCAGCTTTCTTTTCCCGTGGGTAGTGAAGGTAGAGACAGGCACTGTGGGGATGGCCACGCTGCCCCCAAGCTCCGTTGGTTTTGCTCTGCACCTTTAGTCTTTGCATCCCTCAGGTTCCTCAGACCTGGTTTCTTTCGAGCCCTTCAGGTCTCTGGTTTTCTTCTTTTATTTTCCTTTTGAAAACCCAACCCACTCTGTCCATCCCTGGGGGAGGGGGCTGAGCTTTGTTTTGCCATTAATACCCACAGGCACATAATAATTCCTGATATTCCCCGCTGGCCCAGTTCTCCCTGTGCTTAAAGGCAGGTAACTGGAGCTGAAATAAAGGCAGACCAAGCAAACCAGGCTCATCCTGCAGATTCCTGCTTGCTTAGAGTCAGCACTGTGTGTAACTGGTTTCCTGCCCAGCACTTGTGCTTCTCGAGTATCTCAATAGAGTTTCTGCTCACTGATGAGAGGGGGATGGATGAACAAACACAGGGATGCATCCACTTTCCACATCTTGCTGGGATCAGTTGCTTCTGACCACAAAAAGACTGAAGCAGGGTTGTGGAGGCCACTCCTGGCATTTTGAAATACGTCTTTTAACAACCAGGACAACTATCAGGAAAAAAAAAAAGACATCAGCTATGTATCTAAAATTTTATTTTTTCTTAAAGAAGGAAGAATCCAGACACACTACAAGAAATCAGGAATATTTCTTATTTTTGTTTGCCATAAATAGAGGCTTTTTGTATATTAGTGGATAAATGCCCTTTTGGAAAAAAAAAATCTATATTCTCAATTTTCATTATGAAACGAAACCTATATCCAATAAAAGTATTTTGTTCAGGAGTGTGGCTGGTGTGATATAAACCACCTTGGAGGATCAAGGAGCGGGGCCTGCTGCTGGATGCAGTGAATATCCTGGTGAGGACATGATGGACCTCATAAAAGGTTGGGAGAGACTAAAACAGAATCCTTGGAAATTACCTGTCCCTTGAAACTGAGGTAATGTTTCCCAAAATGATTTTCTCCTTCTCTTGCCTCCATCCCACCCAATCTCACTAGAAAAGCTTGTCCTTAAATTAGCACCTGGATATTGGAAATGTGGGTTTCTCAGGTGAGCTGTGATTCAGCTTTTGCAGGAGAAGATCAGCATCAGACAGCCTTGACATTTGGACCAGGAGCTCAGGGGCCTCATTTCAGCACAAGACAAAGAGGTCTCATGTGGGGAAGTACAGAAAATCTCCAAAACCTGGGAATTGATGCTGAGGTTCCCAAAAGAATGATGCTTATAAGCAGATCCATGGATAGGCCGAGCTCCTGCTTCTCAATGTGGAAAAAAAGGGAATAGAAGAAGGTATTTGTTTAAAACAGACTTGCAAGATAGACTTTATTTAAGTAGTTCTGACAACTCTGACAACTTGAACATGTATTGAATAAATTCTTTAAAGCTATGGCACCGAAATAAAAAAATAATTTAAAAAAAGCACTTGTAAAATGAAGGTGTCACTGCTCAAAGGCACATGTGTCCCCACCATCATTTACAAGACTGGGCAAGTGATGAGAGGGTTAATGCTCCCTGTGTGAAATCCTGTCCCTGCAGTGCCACTTCTGTGTGTAATTAGAGACAGGTATTGGTTAAATCAGTGGCCACCTTGCCAGGAGGTTTGTGTTCAAGGCTGGGGACTGACATCACCAGTCTGTTTGGAGTCCATGAGGTGACATCACTCACAGGAAGCTGCAGGGGTAGGAAAATGATCCAGCTCAGTTCTTGCCCGGCAGAGACCTCCAGTCGTCTCTCCACTCCCTGAGTGATGTTTTGGGCATGACTGTGAGATGGGAGGTTTTTGCTGCGTCTGACACTTGTTTGATGGATCTCCATCAAGCTCCAGAGCCAGTTCCTACAGGATCCTGCATCCCTGGCCTCCCTGCAGCCTGGGTCCCAGAAAGTGGATATTTATGCTCCTAAACACCAGTTTTAACCTGTGTCTTCGAGCTCCTTTGCTTCCCTTTCTCTTAACTTGGCATCCCAGCTGTGACACCCCCCCGCCCCGTTTTGTCACCTCTGTGCTCCTATTCCAGCTTCCCAAAGTACATTTTTGACCTGCAAACAGGGCTTTAATTCCTTTCCTACTTACACATGTATAACCTCTCCACCTCAGAGCCCTTTCTGTGCAAGAGCAGTTTTTAGTGGTCAAAAAAATCATCCAAAGGAGTAAGTCTCAGTTTAATATGTACACCATGTATATTTTTATCACAAACACTTTTTTGGGGGGGGGTTGGGGGGAGGGATTCAACTTTTTCTATGCAATGGGAATTTTTTTTTTTTTTTTGTGAAGCTTTGCTTTGACATTCGATCTTATTTCTGTTTTGGTGGAGTGGAGTGGGACCAAGTACAGCTGCACTATTTAAAAGCCACATTGAGCTTGATTTTGGTTTCGCTTGAGAGAGTAAAATTAGTAAACTTAACATGCTCTGCACAAAAGTGACACTAACTCAGATGAACTCACAACAGAGTGAGTAGTTATGAGGGGCAATTTGGAATTAATTGGGATCAGGCCAGTGCTGTAACAGGGGATGAATACCATGAAAAAGGGTCTTATTGCCAGCAGGCAGGATGACTAACCACACACGGCTCTTGCACGTCATCTGTTTATAGAGAGAGGACAAGTAATGGTACAATAAAAACATAAAATAAAAACATACAATAAAAACATACAATAAAAGCATAAAATAAAAACAACAGCGCTTCAGTGCAGAGAAATGAGTGTGAGTGTCAATCCACCAGTTCCTGCCCTTTGGATGTGACTGAGCATCCTTTAATCCTCTATGTATCGTGTGAATTTTGATGTGGTGTAGTTCAAAACAGCCAAAGTGCCACATGAATATCAAGGACTTGACAAGCTGCAAAGAATTGATGCCAGTGGTTTCACACCTGTTTCACAATCCCCCCCCAAACCAGCTGCCAAGCACAAAACTGCCACCCAGTATTTAACTCACCCCTGGAATCTTCCCCCTCCTGGTTTTCCCAACCTCTCAGGGCTGGCTGTAAACAGCAGTCTGGAATACTGTGGAGAAATGGAGAAAATAGCCCAGGATGCAGTATAAACAGCACACTTCTTGTGTGGGCGATGTATGTGCCTTTCCGTTCCTCTGGAGAGGAGTGACCTCTCCCAGCCCAGCAAGGTTCCACGTCTCCGAGCTCTGCAGCCAATTTTAACTCGCAGGAGCAGGGAAGATCCCACAGTGGAAGAGGCTCGTTCGGTTCACAGGGCACCTTCGCTCCATACACCCATTTCCTAGGAGGGGAACTGAAAATTTGGCTTATTAAAATAATTCCGGAGTTTGATTTCTCATAAATGGGGCTCCCAGTCTTTTAATGCACTCAGTGTGTGTTCTCCTAAAGTTGGTCCCACAGCTTATATAAAATATAATCAAGTATTTACATATGACCAGGAGCCACTTTCAGGGCTCATCACTCAAAGTGTGTGGCTGTCTGTGTCTGATTTCCAGGTGACATAAATCTGAGGGACTTTGTACCTGCTTTTACTTCCCCTCACACCATTTCATAGTTAATTTTCTTTCCATCCTTCACCAAGGAAGACACATAAAGGAGAGAGCATCCCTTTTCACACCAAAACCCACTGGTTGCTCCTAAGCCTGGTGAGAGAAGCAGCCAATTCGCCAAACGAGAGGGGAAGAAGGATCTGCTTCTTTACTTGATTCTTAGCCCCACACCCAGAAAACAGATCTCCCAGGAGACAACGTTAGGGATATTAAACAGATCACATATTTGATTTTAAGTGAAAGACCAAGAAGACAAGATCACAGAATTAGAGAAGTTACAGATGGAAAAGGTCTATGAGGTTATGCAATCCATCAGTCTGGACATTGCGTAATTGCTCCCCACAGTATATTTTTAGTGCTTTATCCAGACAAATCATTAAGTGCTTTAAAATGGGCCAGATTCCTCAAATGCAGTGCGTGCAAAGTCACAGCTGATTTCACCAACCCTTGGAGCTTCAGTTCTAATAAGACACCAGAAGGAAGTTTTGTGTGGTCAACGAGAACAAAACAGGCTCTTCCAGAAATAAATACAGGCCTGGTTTGGTATTCCTCACAGGAATCTTGCCTAAATTAACTGAATTAGATCCCTAAAATCTCATTTTCGGATTATACTGAATAATAATGCATTATTACTTATTCAGATGTTCACTTAGTCCAAAGTAAAACATTGTTCATGTTCATGCGAACACGATTTGTTTTAAGCGGCTTCAAAGCCAGCTCAGTAAAGCGTAAAGAATGTTTATTTAAAATATAGTTGCTAAATTTAGCATGAGCTTGGTTAGCCTAAATCTTAGCGACATTTTTAGAGAGCACATTGCGAATCAGGAATGCATGGAGAAATAAATAAACTTTCCCACATTTTTGGAAATGGAGTAAGAATTTGCAAGTTATTCCTTGCACGGGCGATTTCTGCGGATTGGAAAATGTTATGGATAGCACAAATTTCCCACTGAACAGACAGTTGAAAGCACACAATGCTAATAATTTTCACTGCAGTTTCATTTCAAATAATGCTCCCTTAAGGAGGAAACAAAAGCTGTCAGCTTTTGTTATAGAAATTACGCAGAGCACCAACATGTTTCAATATTTACTCAAGCTCTTTGCAAAGCACCAAGAAGTGCAATGGAGCTGCCCTTGGCTACAAGCCACATCCAACCCCCTGCAAAGGAAATCTCAGGGTTGAATTAGGTCCTGTGCCTCTTCCCAGTAATTAAAATACTGGATTTTACACCCACCCCTTGCACACTGTGTTCCCAACATCCTCTGTTTGGCTCCCTGGCTGGGTTAAATACCAGCCTGCCTGTGGGCTGGGCATTTACACAGAAAACAGATTTTCCTTTTCATCTTCCTGAGTTAAAGAGGCACATTTGGGTCACCTTTGCATCAAGTGGCATTGCCTTAGAGACACAAGCAAACCCATGGTGGGAAAGTGAGCAGATGTGTGATGATAAACAGCTAAATTCTCTTTTATCAGGTCAGTTTTCATCATGCCCCTCCATCCTTTCCATCCTTTGGTTGGTGTGAGTTTAATACCTGTTTCTGCTCCTAAGGTGGAAGGATTACAGCTGTACCACTCATGGGGCTACAAGATACAAGGGATGGGACCAAGTATCCCCCAGCATCACCAAGGATGGACTTTGGTGGGATTGGGATCAGCTCCTCACCAGGCAGATGGGTGGAATAAGGGAGTGTGGAAGAAAACACAGGGTTGATTTTTTTTTCCCCAGAACATCTATATATCCTGATCCAAAGCACTGTGATTCAGCTTTACATGCAAGTACCAATTCCCACCTGCAGACCCATCCTCTAGCAACCACCTTGGATCTTCCACAGCTCCTCACATGGAGATTTGCAGATACACTGGCCCAACACACTAATTCCCAAATCTGCAGGGAAGTGGACTCCTTAATTCTTCCCTACCTATCTTCAATTGCTTACTAAGTTTCTGTTTTCATTAGAAGAGCAATATGTAATAATAGTTGTTAAAATAATTGTATTTCTGTTTTTACATCTGTAAAGATTAAGTTAAACAGTATGAAGCCCATTAAACTATTTCATGTCATGCTGCCATAAATTTCCTCCATTCCCATTGCTACTATTATTCCAGAGTAAACTCTGAGATCAAGCTGCTGCCACAGAGAGTTATTTATAGGAGCTCATTCATCAATAAAAACTTCAAAAGAAATCTGTTACTCTTCTATTGGGAAGCCAAAGAAAACTAACATAAAGACAACCCTGTTAAGAAACAAAGCTAAGGAGACCACAAGACATTTAGTTAAGGAAAATCCTGATTTCTAACAAATGCCATGCAAGGAGGGGAAGAGGAAAAAGAAAAAAAAAAAAAAAAAGGAAAAGATTGTTGGCAGCATGAATCCTTTTAAGTTGTTTCATTCTCATTGGATGGTTAAAATAAACTGTTAAACAGTTGTATTTGTACTGGCTCAGGCCCCTCATTAGGCTTCATGGGATGGATTTGTGATCTCACAGTG